TGAGAAAATCGTGTAATATTTATTAAAATTGTTTTTTAGGTTTAAAAGGTGCATGCCTCAGTTAAATTTATCGGTATATTATTTAATGATTTTACTAAGCACTTTTTGTATACAGGTCTTAATTGTCAAAATGGGCCTGTGGGTCAAACCGGCCTACACCCAGAGAAATGTTTTATTTGAATTAAATAAAATATATTTGACTTAAATAAAAATGGATATTTGTCTCAGAGCCTACTAAAATTTTCTTTGTCTCAAATAAATTTTTATATTTAAATTTGAGACAAATAAATTTTTATTTGCTACAAATATATTTTATATTTAGGACAAATAAATAAAAAGTTTTGAATGTAATATATTTAATTGCAAAATTGCCTGGTATTCAGCCAAATATTCTGGAATTGATATAATTAAAACTTATGATTCAAATTGAAAATCTTAAATTTTTACATTTCGTGGTTATTTTTTTGTATGTTCCGTGGATATTGTTGAAACGTAACAATTTCCATTTCTCTGTGTCAATGATAAGTTGATTTGAATTCTGTTTCACATTTGAGACACAACAGGGAGAAAGGCACTCAAAATAAAAGGAAAGTGTAATTTAATTAATAAACACTCGCGAATAAAAACATTTCTTTAATTATCCTGAAATTAGTATTTGTTTTAATCAAATAATAATCAATCCTTGTATAAACAACTGCTTGGTCGCGTTAATCTGTCACCTCGTTTTCCCTACGTCCGACATCTTTAAAGTTATATCGTATACAGTATTCTGCGCATGCTTGCGTTGAACTCGAATAAACTTTTATTTGAATTAAATATATTATTTATTTGCCACAAATGTACCTTTTTAAAAAGTACTAATAAAATTGTTTATTTGTAAGAAACATATACGACAATTTCAAACAAACATTTATTTATTTAATTTAAATAAAATATTTATTTCAAATAAATAAAAACGATTTAAATATACGTTTTTATTCAAAACTAATAAATTTTTTTTTCGGCGCACCGAACGTTCGCATTTCCGAGTCTCAAGTGACGCTTGGTCACTGGCTTGACGAAATATGCTTCTTTTTATAGGAAATCTTAAAAAAAATTATATATACATATATATATATTAATAAATAATTATAATTAGGTGATATTTATTTTATTAATTAAAAGTAAACTAAAAAATTATAATAAGTTAATTTTTATTTTATTAATTATAAAATGAAATAAATAATTATAATTAGTTAATATTATTTTAACAATGTTTTGTTTAAAAAAATTTTAAACATTTTATTACTGTTGTATTGTTTATGTTAAAAATTAAAAATATTTCACATCTAAACTTTTTTTAATAAAATGAAAAAGGTCAATAAATATTTTAAAACATCTGACATATAATTTAAGATGTATGATTAAAATTCTAAAAATTTTAAATACGAATTTAATTGTTATGAAAAAATTTATTGCAAAATATAAAACATACATGTTTTACTATAAGAGAATGTGTGTAAAATTAATTTCCTATAAAAAGAAGCATATTTCGTCAAGCCAGTGACCAAGCGTCACTTGAGACTCGGAAATGTGAAGTTCGGTGCGCCCGCCAATTTTTAAAACTTAACATATTTCAATAAATAATTGAGGAATCGTTATGAAAATTTACAGAAAACTTCCTCAAATAGTAATGAACAAATGTCTCACTGGAAGTTTGTTCAACTAGAAACTTCCCCACAGACTTTTTGACGGCAAAGATACGGGATGGTGATTATTGACGGGTCTCTATTAACAATTCAAAATTATTAAACATTTCACTTTTTTTAAATTTTTCATTATGTTGTTGCCTTCTTTGGACCGAAAGGCGTTTAAATATTAAATTCCAAGTAAATTCATTAATATTTATCGAAGATACAACGGTTTATGTTTAAAAATTGAATGAATTTTGAGAATTTAAATTTTGCTGTTTGTTATTATTATTTTTTAAACTATTCGTTTTACGAAAAAATCTCAAAGGAAAAAAAGATGCGTCTCTTCATTTCCTATGAGGTAGTAGCTTTCAAAAATTAAAATTTCGATTTTCAATTTTTTTCATAATGTTGACCGTTTGACTAGCTTTACAGAGTTCAGCCGAGCGTACGTCCCCTTATTGTTTCCAGCGATTCAATTTATAAAATATATTTAATTATATGCTTTAAGATTATTATCATGAATAATCCCAGGTGAATTTTCAAAAAAAGTGTAAATATATTTTTATTTAAAACGCATTTTTCATTGTTCTGAATCATTGTAAACATTACTTTTTTGTTGATGAAAAAATATTTGACTTTTGGACTTAGAAAATTTTGCTAAATGATCATGAGGGCGATCCATGCGGGTCCCTACGTTGGTCCTCATGTATCTTGTCATATGTGAGTGCTCTTTTTTCAAAAAAGTGTAAACATATTTTTATTAAAAACGCGTTTTTCGTTGTTCTGAATCATTGTAAACATTAATTTTTTGTTGATGAAAAAATGTTTGACTTTTGGACTTAGAATATTAAATAATAATATACTTAAATAAATGAATAGTATCTAATAACTCATGATTCTCATTACACTTAAATATTTAATTGATCAAAATAGTTTCTTTTCCTTTAATAAAATAGTGTATTAACATTAAATAACGCATTATTTATATTAAATAATTTAGTTGATTAGAATCAATAAAATAAATTTATTGTATCAAATACTTTTTATTTGTAACAAAAAAATGAAATCTTTGAGTGAAATAAATAAATTAATAGTTGCAAGTAACTCATTATTTTCGTTTCAAATAAACATTTAATTGATTAAAATATTTTTTTATTTGTCTTGATAAAATAGTGTATTAGCATTAAATAACGAATGATTTGTATTAAATAATTTATTTTATTTGAATCAATTACATAAATTTATTGTGTCAAATACTTTTTATTTGTATCAAATAAACGAAATATTTGAATGAAATAAATGAATGAATAGTTTCAAGTAACTCATTATTTGTATTAAATAAATTCATTTAGGTATTCAATTCAATTAATTATTTAATTGAACCAAATACGATTTATTTGGATCAAATAAATCCGATTCAAATAATTCAAGTTATTTGAATTAAATACATATTTTTTTGATCCCAATAAAAAGTATTTGAACCAATTAAATATTTTTCAAATAATTTGAAGTATTTTAATCAAATGAATTTTTTTTTCAGTGTACATAAAAGAAAGAATTGAATTTCATTAATTAAGTGCATCATTATAAATAAAGAAAAAAGGGAACGTTTTTTAGTTATAAACAATTGCAATTACTCGGCCAGTTTTTACTCTATCGGATTCTAATAAAGGCCCTTGTTTTTTTTTCTTTACAAAACATCATTTAGTTACAGTTAAGATTTGAATACTTTGTATTTGATTCAAATAACTATTTATTTGATACGATAAAATAAAATACTTAGGTTTAGTAAATGTGTATTTGGTTCAAATACATATTTATTGGATAATAGACAAGTAAATGATGTATTTGAATCAAATACTTTTTATTTGATCCACATAAAGAGCTCATATTTGGTATTATTACGTGAAAATTACAAGAAAAATATACCGAACACTGTAAAAATTTAAAGAATGGTGCTTACTTTCCTTTAAATTTTAGAGAAAAAAGTTGTCATTAAAAAAAAAGGTATTAAAAATACCTACAAAATGGCGGGTCGAAAGTTAAAATCGGATTATTTGTTTAAAAGTTATTGCATTTAAACCATTAAAAATGGTACTTTTTTAATTGTTTAATAACTTTGTTAATAGTAATCCGATTGGAGTGAAACTTTCTGAAAATGTGCCCCTCGCGATACTGAACAAAATGAAAAAACTTTAAACCCAATCGGATATATAGTTTATAGATTATTCGATTTGTTAATTAAAAACATGTTGTTTTTCAAACTAATTTCTACAGAACTATATGGAGCGAATTCAATTTTTTTCTTTCATTTTACTCTTGAAGAGTGATACTATCATGCACATAAAAGAAAGAATTAAAATTCATTAATTAATTGCATAATTTTGGATAAAGAAAAATGGGTACGTTTTTTAGTTATAAACAATTGCAATTACTCGGCCATTTTTTATTCTATCGAATTCTAATAAACGCCATTGAATTTCTTTTTTCTTTACAAAACAAAAAAAAATATGTTTAAATTAATAAAAAATTTTGTTACTAAAAAAAATTGTTAAAATATTAATAAAAAAAAAATTTTATTAAAAATATAATTCCATTTCTGAAAAGAGTTGAAAAAATAACATAAAATAAAAAAAAAGAAAGATTAAAATCGGTTAACAATTGACCGACTTACAACAACTTTTGTTTTGAACGGGCGATTTCAGTTTTATAGCGGGCGTCAATCCGCGCTACGAGTTCCCTCACTCCGCCGTCAGGTGCAAGGAAAAATGAAAAAAATGAAAAAATGAAAAATATTAATAATTAGTGTTAGAATTTTTTGAAAATAAAAAATTTTCTCCCCCCTCCTTTAAGCTACATCGTTTTTCTTTTTTTTGAAAGTTTTGTAAAGAAAAAAGAAATTCAATGGCGTTTATTACAACTCGACAGAGTAAAAAATGGCCAAGTAATTGCAATTGTTTATAACTAAAAAACGTACACTTTTTTCTTTATCCATAATTATGCAATAAATTAATAAATTTGAATTCTTTTTTTTATGTACGTATCACTCTTGAAGAGTAAAATGAAAGAAAAAAAATTGAATTCGCTCCATATTGTTCTGTAGAAGTAAGGTTGAAAAACAACATGTTTTTAATTAACAAATGGAATAATTTATAAACTGTATATCCGATTGGGTTCAAAGTTTTTTTATTTTGTTCAGTATCGCGAGGGGCACATTTTCAGAAAGTTTCACTCCAATCGGATTAATATTAATAAAGTTATTAAAAAAGTGCCATTTTTAATGGTTTAAATTCAATAACCTTTAAACAAATAATCCGATCTTAACTTTCGACCCATCATTTTGTAGGTATTTTTAATACCTTTTTTTTTTAATCACAACTTTTTCCATTAAAATTTAATGGAAAGCAACGAGCACCAAAATACCACGTTTCACTAACTTTGACCATTGTTTATAACAATTTCTGCAATCGGAAATCGAGAGAAAACTATGAGGCCTTTATACTACTCCCCCAAACTACCAAAAACTGTCGAAGACCACAACACTGCAAGGTGACACCGCAGATACACAAAAGATGTTTACATAGTTTCACAGAGCATTATAAACAGCAGAGGTCACAGCACGATAACAGTGAGTCACTTCAAACTCAGATAAAACCAGTAAAATTCGTGAAAAATCATACGGAACGAAATAAAATAATAAAATGGGTCCTCAGGGTGACACAAAAAATTTGGACATTTCATAAAAAGGTTACGATGAGCGAGCTGGGTAGAAGTCCAACTCGCTTATAGAACAAAACTCAGAACGGATCAGAATTAAAACAAACTTCGAAGAACACTTCAGAGAGCACGTGGCAGAATGAACGGTTTAATCAAAAAGATTACAAAGTTTCTTTTATTAAAAGCAGAACAAATCATATGTACTCACAACACAGAACTTGGCTAATAATGAACTAAAACTTATTTGAACAAATCAAAGGTACAACAAAATCAATGGTAAATGCAGCAAAAATTAAGGCATAGTAGTAGGGCCGTATTTCACCTCCAGGTGGGTTTGAAATTATTGTCCCCGTTGCATCTAAATGAGCAAACACATTACTTTTACGACTCACAGCAACTACATACTGTACTTGTCGTTCTGTAAACATTACGATTACACAAGGATATATTAGGTGGGTCTGTTATCAGACCTTGTATAAATTGACCCTGATACTTTTTGTCTGTATCATATTTTTGTTTTAATTTCACTAGATATAAATGAAAATCGTCATCCAAGTCTTCTTTCTTTTTTTCAAAGCGATATTTTTCGCAAAATTGTATCGCTCGGTGCATCGTTTCTGTTGCCTTTTAATAAAATATCCTCTGTAACTTTGGAAAGCATGTCAAATTTAACTGTACTTGGCGGACTAGACATTTGGGCAATTTGTTGTCTGTTTTTTCCACGAATATACCGACGATGTATTTCATTTTCGTGTTGATAATAACCTGCTCTTTCCACATGTATGACAATTTCCGTTTCTTTATTTGAGACAGATCTCAAGCTAAACTTAAAAGAAGCACAACCACTATGCGTACAGTGGGCTACAGCGTACCAAAGTTTTCCATCCTTTCCGTTACCTTGAAGGCATTTATTGTATTTAAAAGAAAGAACACAATATTTGTTTTTTAACTTGAAATATCCATTCAATTCATCTGTCCAACCTTTCAAAAGACGTTTTTGATTTTCCTCTTTCTTATAATCATCCCAAAACTTTCTGGGAATTCGAAGTTCGAAATTACTTTTTTCACTGGACACATTATCAGAAATTTCCAATTTTTCGTCTGGGATCGGTGACACTTGTTTTTCTACGTGTATAATTTCTCCAATTTTTTTAACATGGACAGAAATTGGTGATCCTTCTTTAATATCATTATATATAGCAAAATTATATAAAACACAACCAGGCACTTTGCAATTCCCTTTTGCCCTCCAAATCTTATGATGACCTCTTAAAATTTTGTTATCCTTAATGACAAGATCACAAAGGTGTCGACTTAAAAAGCAATTTTTAAAACTTTCGATCCAACCTTTACTCAAACGCAACTGGTTATCTGATTTTATAAAGTCAGTTAAAAATGTGCCTGGAACTTCAAAATTCAAATCATTGGATGGTAATTCCTTACTATTTGAAATATTTGTTGTTTTTGTTGGAACTGATTGATTTTCATGGATGATAACACAACCTTTTATGTCAAAGCGAACTATTATTTCTTGCCCTTCAATGACATCATTTGCTTTTATATAAAAGTTAAATTTTGCGCATCCGTTTACAGTGCAAGAAGCCTGAGCAAACCATATTCGCTGATCGGGATTCACACCTTTTCGGCACTTATTGAAAGCAAAGGAAATATTGCAGTCTTTATAAGTGTCTTTAAAATACTCCTTAAAGTATGATGTCCAACCTTTCAAAAGACTGACTTTTCCAGGTACTCTAAACTTTTCAAAAAATTCGTATGGTAATTGAAAATAATTACTCGTTTCATTGGATTCAATTTTTACATACATTGCGATTTATTTTTTTAAAATGACAGGTTTCATCCAATGTTTTATTCCTTTTCTATAATAGGAATAAAAATAAAATATATAATATATAAAATTAAATTTTTTTTGTTATATTAAAAGTAACTAAAAACTTGAGTTATACTTACTAAGTGATTGAATTTACAGAACTTTTAAATATTTAATAATAATTTTTCTATATTTATTTGATTTTTATTAAACTATACTCCTTTCGAAATTGTCAACAAATATAATTAAAAAATAATGACAGTTGTGACATCTGGAGTCTTTTTCTAGTAAATTATCTAGGGAATTTCTCATTTTGATAAAATAAATATAAATTTTCTTTTCCCTTTTGAAAATAAAATTTATGATTTGAAATTATTAATTTAAAATATAGGATAAGAATCGATAAAATAAATAGTATTAAAATTATTAAATTATTATTGCAAACGCAAACGGAATAATGAGTTAGAGAAGGATCGATAGACATATTGTTTGTCCTTCTCTAAGTCATTCCCTACCGGAAGGGTGGTACTGGATTGGTACTGGGAAATTGGAACTGAGATCTCAGTACCAACTCAGTACTAATTTGGTGCATTTTGGTACTGAAATGGAACTGGGAAATTTACCTGCGAAAAGGGTCGAGTTACCGTTAATACCCTCATAAAAGTGAAAAGCGACTAGCTTTTTCAATATGTTTAAACTAAAATTTTATATTTATTTCAATATTATATTTGTTTTTCATGGATTTATATTATTTTCATACATTATTATGCATATGATATTTCCTTTGTCAGCTAAATTCAAAAATGATGTCCATTTTTTTATCAAACTTAAGGTATACGAGATAAATTATAACTTTTCTAAATGTAATTATTTTATGATAAATTTTAGATATTCATAATCTGGAAATATTAACGAATCTGAATATATATTTTTTAAAGTTGAGTTATTAAAATTACAAATTTTTTAAGCAATAAAACTCGGGTTAAAATTTTAATCCTTCAACAAAGGACCTAGGGATCTATTGTTCAAGGAGGGATTGCAATATAATTTCCAAACTTAACAGAAATTTTCTACAAACTATTATGTTTTTTTTTTGCTGTTTTACACGTATATCGTGAGAGACGGTTTGTTGATCTTATATACCTTTAAAACTATTGTTAAAGTACTTTAAAAATGTCTTCTTATGGGTTATCAGGTAGTGGTACTGAAGTGGAACTCAAGCCAAGTCCAATTCAGTACCATTCCAGTACCACTCTTTCGGTAGGGTTATTCCGGTTGCGTTTACGGTTACGCTTCTATTCTGCTCAGGCCTAAATCGATTTTCGCTAGAATTTTTTTAAACTCTGGGAAAATGTTCTTTTTTATGTACTTTATAAGTGGTAAAAAAAACCCAGTACCCCTTGCCATTCTAAAAACTGAGAAATCTGGGTTCAAAGTTAATGCACCAGTTAACATAGGAATTCTAATCTGAACATGCAAAACTTATTTAATTATTTAAAAAGTTTTCGATAGATGTTTTTTTTAAAAACAAGTATATTGTAGAATGGAATTAATAAAATAATATAAAAAAAGTTTTAGGAGGGGTATCCATGCTAATTTTTGAATTACAAGGCCGTTTCCGAATTGAGATTTTTGTCGCACTTTTGATAAAGTGTACACGGAGAGAAAAAACGAGCCTTTACAGCATGGACCTATATATGCTCTCTTCGTACGCGCCTCTACCGTCCATCTTCGGTACGACCTTATACTATATTTTCACTTGCCCGTACTAAAATAGTAAGGAGCCGAGCTACTACAGCAAGAGATGGTACCGAAGATGGACGATAGAGGCGCGTACGAAGAGAGCATACATAGGTCCACGCTGTAAAGGCTCGTTTTTTCTCTCCGTGTATACTTGGGAAGTATGCACATGTTGTCATTTCAACACGTGTGTTAGAAAAGGACAAAAAAGTGTAGGCATTTTCGGTCATGAGTGTACACGTTCACGTTCGCCTACAAACGTGCCCAGTAGGCTCTGTCACTTGTGACGTCAGAGTCGATTCTAGGTGTGACGTCAGAGGCCTGGAGGGACAACAAACAGACGACACAATGTCATTCTTATGGGGAAGAAAATAAGTTTCCACATTCATCAATTTTATTCATACTTTAAACATGGAAAACGCTTGTTGACATACATATAATAAAATTAAAATGTGTGTTGATAATTAATTTTGTTATATATTTGATTCAATTGCATTGATAGATTCTCTGAAATCGTGATAAAATATACATTTTGAGGTTAAGGGTGTTTGTTTAATAATTTGAAATCTTTTACTGCTGCGGTAATTCCCACTTAAAATATATATTTTATATCTTTTTTAATAACATGCATACTGGATATTGTTTAATAATGTTGTTAAAATGTTAAAATGTTATTAGTAAACAAATACCCATAACCTCAAAATTTATATTTTATAACGAATTGAGAGAATCTATGAATTCAATTGAATCAAATTATACAGGGAGTTCCAAAAGTATAGAAACTTGCAAATATCTCGAAAAGTACGAATTTTTGTAAAAAAATGTTCAAGACAAAAGTTGTTCCAAACAAAAAGATGTACATCTTTGAAACCAAAAAATTGGGCCCTGAGCCCAATGTTGGGCCCTACAATGAAAAAAGTGGTTTTCTTAAATGAGATCACTAATTTTCAGTATCAAATTCGTAATCCCCATGAAATTCTGCGTTCAGACATGTGGTATAAGTGCCCAAAATATTGGTCCCAATCTAAGATATTGGGTCCAAAATTTATCAACAGCTAAATAAATTTTAAAAAATCGCATCTTGGAGGGATTTTGAGTTCACAGGATTAGAAATTGGAAGCTAATTTTCAAATTGTACACAAAGCCCAATGTAAGATTCCGCGGCCCAATGTGAGGCCCACATTAAAAAAAAATTAGTTGTTTAAATAAAACCCACTAATTTTCAGTATCAGTATCCATTTCAGAATCGTAATGAAATTCTGGGTTTAGACTTGTGGTACAAATTCCAAAAATATTGGGCCCTCACATTGGGCTGCAGAATCTTACATTGGGCTTTGTGTACAATTTGAAAATTAGCTTCCAATTTCTAATCCTGTGATCTCAAAATCCCTCCAAGATGCGATTTTTTAAAATTTATTTATCTGTTGATAAATTTTGGACCCAATATCTTAGATTGGGCCCAATATTTTGGGCACCTTTACCACGTGTCTGAACGCAGAATTTCATGGTGATTACGAATTTGATTCTTAAAGTTAGTGGTCTCATTTAAGAAAACCACTTTTTTCATTGTAGGGCCCAACATTGGGCTCCGGGCCCAATTTTTTGGTTTTAAAGATGTACATCTTTTTGTTTGGAACAACTTTTGTCTTGAACATTTTTTACAAAAATTCGTACTTTTCGAGATATTTGCAAGTTTCCATACTTTTGGAACACCCTGTATGTCAAAAAACGTTTTCCATGTTTAAAATATGAATAAAATTGATGAAAGTGGAATTAAATTTTTTTCCCCATAAGAATAACGAGACGACTGCTTTTCCCCGAAAGGACAAAATGTCGAATGAACAAAACGTCGAATAGCAAAACGTCGAATGGACAAAATATCGAAAAGCCAATCTGTCGAATGGACAAAATGTCGAAAAGTCAAGACGTCGCATAGTCAAAACGTCGAAAGGTCAAACTGTCGAAAAGCCAAGACGTCGAACAGACAAAATGTCGAATGGACAAAATATCGATACGTTATTTTGCTGTGGGTTTCCCTTCTATATAATGCACTAGTTTGTGTTTCGTTTAACACTCGATAGATATCGCTAGTTGTATTGTTTTTAATGTTTTTTTTACATTTTTTTATAATAATAATAATAATAATAATAGTAGTAAAGTAATTATTATAGTATAATAATAATAATAAAAATTTTTTAACATGAGAATAATTCGACATTTTGGCAATTCTATATTTTGTCTGTTCGAAGTTTTGGCTATTCGACATTTTGTCTGTTCGACGTCTTGGCTTTTCGACATTTTGACCTTTTGACGTTTTGACTATGCGACGTCTTGACTTTTCGACATTTTGTCCATTCGACAGTTTGGCTTTTCGATATTTTGTCTGTTCGAAGTTTTGGCTATTCGACATTTTGTCTGTTCGACGTCTTGGCTTTTCGACATTTTGACCTTTCGACGTTTTGTCCATTCGACATTTTGTCCTTTCGGGGAAAAGCAGTCGTCTCAAGAATAACATTTTGTCGTCTGTTTGTTGTCCCTCCAGGCCTCTGACGTCATATCTTGAACTCGAAATATCTCGATGAACTGATACAGCCTAATGGAACGGTCACACCTTGGCTGCAGGAGCAGTGTGACCGCTCCATAATTGGAGAACCGACTAAATGGGTAACGTCACACGTTCACGTTTGCGTTGGTTGCGTTGGTTTGAAGCGCAATGACGTCATCAAAGCATTGATACCAATCGCGAACAAAAAGTTTGGTTTATGTTCCTCTTATCCCTGTTTTTTAACTTTACCATTTTTAAGAATGTCGAATGGTCTCTGAAATTCTTTGGCATTTAATAATCGCCCTATACAAACGGCACTGAACGTGAAAATGATAAACATTGAGTTTAAAATACTTTTTTCTCAAAACGCGGACATTTTTTTCAAAATCGGACAAAATACCAAGGATCCTTATCTTATAAATTTCTTAAATCCAAAAGATTGTGCAAATCTATACAAAAATGCGATTGTAAAATGAAAAGTACGAAAGTAAAGGCGCTTGTATACCTCACCGATCCCGAGTATACTTCTGTCGTGTACCATTGGAGTAAAAGAGAAAAAGATATTTCCGTCTCTTTTACTCCAATGATACACGACGCAAGTATACTCGGGATGGGTGAGGTATACAAGCGCCTTAATATAATGACAGCTGCGACATTGTGCTCCCTGCATGCTACTGCCACCTAACGGCTGCAGGACGTAATAAAACCTAAAATTATATTTTCGTACTTTTCATTTTACAATTGCGTTTTTGTATAGATTTGCACAATCTTTCGGATTTAAGAAATTTATAAGATAAGGATCCTTGGTATTTTTTCCGATTTTGAAAAAAATGTCCGCGTTTTGAGAAAAAAGTATTTTAAAATCAATGTTTATCATTTTCACGTTCAGTGCCGTTTTTATAGGGTAATTATTAAATGCCAAAGAATTTCAGAGACCGTTCGACACTCTTAATGCAAATGTTTCTCGACGGCTTTTAATTATTTAATATTTATGATTAAAAAATTCAGTGTCTTAAAATGATAAACCAAACTTTTTGTTCGCAATTGGTATCAATGCTTTGATGACGTCATTGCGCTTGCGAATCAACTTCTCAAATGTGTCTTCCATATCTATTGAACGTTGTTCTATGACCATTCTAACTGCAGGCAGATTTGTGTCCCAAGCTTACACTGTCATTATTTATTTAGAGTTTGTTTTACTCTATTATTGTGAATTATTTTAGTTTTTTTCTATATAGTAATTTCTTTGTGTTCTTGTACCGTGTTGGGTATAGAATTTCACAATGAAAAAGTCTCCGTTAAGTAGAATAAGTGAAAATCGTGGTTATAATCGTAGTCCTTATGGGCATAGACAATTTCACAATTCAAGTAATCACGATAATTTAAAAAGTGGTAACAATTATCACAGTTTTAACAGGCAAGATAATTCCCAATCGAGTGGTGGAAGTGATTATATTCCTTTTGAAACAAGCTCACCCTTATCTCAGAGAAGTAATAGTGGTAGTTGGCAAGGCGTTTATTCCTCTGGTTATAGAAACAGAAGAACAAATTATAGCAGTCCAACATCTAATCAAAGTAGTCCACATTCTCCTTATAATAATACCCCTAAACATAATTATAAGCGACAGGTAACTATCAACTTTATATCAAAATGTTCATCCTGACTTAACCTCTACTCAGAGGTTAGGTTGTTGTATATATACAATAGAAAATTCAGGCTTCTTAGTGACACACTTTTTTACTTTTTTGATACTTTTTTTTCGACAAAGCCACTTTCTTACTACTAATTTTTGCCAAAAGCCCCTAAATACTACTTTTTTCAAAAATAATTTTAAAAATGACAGAATTCAAGAATTTTAAATTTTAGCGAATTTTTTTATTTCTAAAAGCTCGCCAAGTTGATAATATATTATTAGCCGCATGAACTACTGCTTTATATAATTATTTTTACACGAATTTTCATTTTTCAAAATAGAATTTAACATAATTTCTTTTTAAACGACTTTTTACTAAATAGAATTTTAATTTTTTTGATAGAATTTTTATTTTACAAAATTTCTCTTTACACAACTTTTTTTTTTTAATAATTCTAATTGAACCGAAATTCAGACAATAATTGAATTTTCGAATATTTTGAATTGAAATATGTTTTAAATAATTGAAATGCCAAGATCTTGATGAAAGTTATTAGAAATAATTATTTCAACAAAACATTTGAATCAAAATTTTTAAATGAATTTTTGAATAAGTAATTGGATAAAATTTATTGAAATTATTAATTTAGTAAAGAATTTTAGATAAAAATTTTAGAAATAATTGAATTTCGGAAGAGTTCGAGTTAACATTTTTAGAAATAATTAAATTTTTGAAAATTTTAAATTAAAATTGTTGTTTTAAAATACCAAATACTTTATATAAGCATCCGACTCCAAGTTCTAGGATTTAAAAATTCGAATTATTTAAAATTCTACTGAATGAGGATTTTTATAAATTAAAAATAGGTTAAATTAGAATTCTTTTCAAGAAATAGTTGGGTAAAGAGAAATTTTGTAAAATAAAAATTGGGTACTTTGAAAATTCCTTTGAGTAAACATTCGTTTAAAAAAAATTCTGTATTAAATGCTATTTTGTAAAATATAAATTTATGAGAAAAATAATTTTTATGGAATAATTATACGCTCCTACCGTTGTGCCAAAAGTAAAAAGTTAATCGAAATTTAACAATAGTTTTTTTTTAAATAATTATGAGAAAAATGATGTTAATTTTATTCCTCAGAATTTTTCTTTTAATTTTTTAGACAAGAAAATATTTACACTTTAACGTCAAACTTAGAAAACTAATTTTACTTCATTTTACGGATGCCACTTTTTTGATACTTTTTTCAATTTTGGGGATACTGTTTTTTTAAAAAAAAAATTAGTTTTCTTCTTTTATGTATTTATCCAAAGTTCAAAAAATAAAAATAGTTCTTTCATACATTAATATATATATTTATTGAAATTGGTTACATATTAATTTTTGCTTTCTCATAGTGAAAGTATTATAATAACAAAAATTTTAACTTTAATTTTGAAAGTTGCACTACATAATGAGAGAATTTTTAAAAATAATTGACAAAAATTTTTTTAAATTTGAATTCTATAAAGATATAAAATCGGTTTATTTTCATGTTTCAGAATTTTCGTTCAAATTGTCAAAAAATTGTGGATATTACTGCTTATTTAGATTTTGAATCAATGTTTGAAAATCCGTGGACAGAACTAGAGGGTCAGTTAAATAATTGGAAATCTCAAAATGAAAGCAAAACGTTTGAAAACGACAATTTGGGGGATTCAAAACTGGAAAATAGTAGTCTAAGTCCAGAAGACTCTTTATCAGATAACTGTAATGACAAAAATCTTAGCGATTCAAGTCAAGACATTAAGTCAACAACTCAAGATTCATGATTCAATTTTATTCGTTTGTTAATGTGATTCTGATGCTTTAAAATAGCTTTTAATTGTATATAAATATATATTTGTATTGAGAAATGAACTATTTAAAACCCTTTATATTACAAAACTACTGTCTATCATATCAAGCCTTTTGGACTTTTTGTAATTTATTAAACTATTTTTTTTGTTCTGTTGATATAAATGCTTGTGAACAATTTTTATACAAAAAGAACTTTGTATATTCATTCTGTTTTGTAAAACTTTTTCGTTTTCATTTTGAGGGAATGAAAAATGCAAAAATTAATTTTGCAGCGTATTTTAAATTACAACTTATAGATATGATTCGAAAAACATAAAAAACTATTTATGGTTTTAAAAGCATCATATGATTTTAAGTGTCAGTGCAATTGTTTTAGTTACAAATATGAAAGCATGCTTTTGTACAGAAATGTTAATTCTAAATTATGTACGAATTATTTTGTTCAGTCTTTATATTTAAGTAAGTTATTAGATAATGTTAATAATTGGAAGAATATACAATAATATTCTATGAAGGTTTTTATATTAATTTCAAACATAAATATTGAAAGTTGTAAATTGTTCAAGTAATTTTAAAATAGTTCCAATATTAATGAATATGTAGTTATAATAATAATGTATTGATCTCTCTATATGAAATAAATTACAATATAATGTAGCATTTTGCAAGCTGAACTTTACTCTATTGTTTAAAAGTTATGAATTTTGTATTGAACAGTCAATCTTAAAATTTGATGAATTGCATGTATCAATTAAATAATTAATTAATGGCCGTCAAGCGGATTCGAAGGTGATATTCAAATATTTCTTAACATTTAATATTTTTTTACAATGTAGGGTAAATTATTCTTTTTAGTAACTCAATAAAGTTACTTTGAACTTCGTCTTTTGGGAATTGAATTTTGTTTTAATTAAAGTATTTTTTTCGACGTTTTTTTACATTTTGTTTACAAAATATTTAAACTAAATACATCTTTTTTAGTTTACAATGCAGATCTTCTTCATATTTTCTTTATTTCAATTATTTAACAAAATTTTAACAAAAAATTTTCTCAAAATCAAATAAAATTACCATAAATTTCAATTTAAAACCGTCTAAAATTTAATTATTCCTAAACATGTCATCTGTAACTCTTCCAAAATTTAATGATTTTAAATGATTTTTATAATATTCTTCAAAAATTGAATTATTTGAAAGCATTTTTCAATTAAAAATGTCTTTAATTTCTAATAAATTCTTTATCACCGAAAATGTCAATTAAAAATCACTTGAAGTTCAATTATTTTTAATAATTTTTATATTTTTTTAAAAATTCAATCATTCAAAAAAGTTTAAAATAAAAATTCTAAAAGTGAATTGTTGTCAGAATTTTTTTTAGAAATTTGTCCTACTTAATTAAAATTTTAAAAATTTACGCCTTTAATTCTGAAATATTTGAAATAAATTTTTTTTCATAATATTCCAATAGAATTATTCTTATTAAGGAATTAATAAAATGTATTTCATATCTGATAACATTAATTATTTAAAGTAAAATACTTATTAATTAATTGAATTTAATTAAAATAAAAGAATCGATTTTTTTGGAATGTAAGTCGAATAAAATGACTTTTTTGCGCCTTAAATTCGATACGAGGCTTGCATCATATCATGTATTAATTTGAGATAAACGGAAAAATTGAAAATTAAAATTTTTTTAGAAATTTTTTTATTGCTTCTCAAAATTTATTAAAATTCTACTCGAAATGATATAGGGTCAGTTGGGGTAAATGGGGACAAAATCGCTATTTTTCACAAATTACGTAAGTTTCTTCCTTTAAAAGGTAATATTTGCGGATTTATCTTTTTAAGTTGTTATTTACATTACCAGGATTAATTTTATGCAGCAGAAAAAAATTTTGATAAGCTGTAAACGCATGAAACTGACTGTTCCCATTTACCCCAAAATTTAGAAAATTTCATAAAATTTGGGGTAAATGGGGACAGTACAGTTTCTAAGAAAGTTTTAAGAAAAAAGTTTCCTTAAGTATATTACTGTATTAAGGGATGGAAAAACTTGAAAAAAAATTGTAGTAGATATATAATAGTTGAACCAATTAATTTTTTTTTATTTCTTTTATTTTTTTTTCATTTCAGTATTTTGTTTCGTATTTGAAAAAAAAAACAGACTTAAAAATCATACTAAATTTTTTTCTTATTCCTTATGACTCCCATAACATAAATTCATTTGAATTTTTTATTTTTGTCAATTTGGTTAATAATAACAAGCTGTTCCCATTTACACCAAAAATTTGAAAACTCAGGGTAAATGGGGACAGCTTGTCATTATTAACCAAATTGACAAAAATCAAAAATTCAAGTGAATTTCTGTTAAAGGAGTCATAAGGAATAAGAAAAAATTTTTGTATGATTTTTAAGATTGTTTTCTTTGAAATGCTCGACAAAATACTGAAACAGTTTGACTTTGATTTTCAAGTTTTTATGCATTGAGCGATAACTTTTTTTATCTTGCTGCCAATTGTTAAGATAAAAGCTTGGCAATACTCAACACCTCTTGCAGGTGATCTGAGGTTAATATATTGACGTTGAACTTCATTTTAAAATTGTAAATTAAGCTCTAAAACCTTTTGTCCCCATTTACCCCAACTGACCCTATACACGTAAAAGTTACGTCAATCTTTTAGTTTATAGACGAAAGAAAAATAATTTTTAAAAATTAAACAAATTCATAAGCTAACTTTTTTCTTTAAATTTATTTTTCAAAATTCCCTGACATTTCTCTACTGACTAATTTGTTCTTTTTCTCTGACTAACAATTTTTTGAATTATTAAAAATCTTGCTTTATTGTCATTGGAACCCATTTCATGAAAATTTCGAAATAGTTTTAGAAGAACTCAACACAAAGATAACATCATTCTCCAGGTTTATATGCTCGTTAATACTAAAAATAAATAAATAATAATAAAAGAACCCCTAGTAATCATGCTAGTGAATTAATTGCAATAAAAAGAAGAGTTATTATTTTTAAAACTTTATTTATTATTCGCGTGAATGCCTTAAACGTTACACAATAAATCATGTAAAATTTTGTATTTACAAATATACAATGTACAAAGGCACGATATATCTACACATTTCATATCATGTACAATAAAATGCAAATAATGTAACAAAATATAATTCTTGTGTATAAACAGCTATCAGTGGAGAAACTGGACAGCGCTAATAAAAGGATTTACAATCCGATTTCTTAATAAACTATCCTTAAAATACCAATATCAAAATTGTTCTATAACAATTAATAATACAAATTGTAAAAAGTTTTCTTCAAAATTATTAGTCGAATGTTATAAAATTTTCGATGAATGATTACAATACAATTTATCAAAAGTTCGATTAAAGACGATATAAAATAGAGCTGCTTCTTTTAAGAAATTTTTAATTTTTTATAAAAAATTCAAATTTTTTTTATCAGTACATATAATACTAAAATAATCGTTAGTATTAAAGAAATGCTAAAGTATCTGTATCTTTACAAAAAGTAAATTTCTCTTAAAATATTATTACAATCTGATGACAATTTAAAATATAGAAGTATATAAATATTACAAAAACGTCACTTTAAATTGGTAAAATGTTTTATCTCTATACTGTCACCAACCAAAAAATAATAAAAATAAAATGTTTATAGACAGACAGTAAACTTAATTCTAAACTAATATAATTTTATTATCGTTCTTAAAGTATAAAAACTTAAATGATCGTTTATGGGATATTTTTTGTGATAAGTTTACAAACATTAACCGAGTCTTTAATCTGGAAGAATATATTCAACAGAATATGAGAATTCACAATATTAAAGTCAGTTTTTACAAAATACAAAGACAATATTTTTACCTAATAAAATCAACAATTTATATGTATTTATAAAGCTTAGAACAAAATTAACATGTAAAGATTCTGAGAAAGTTGTGGATTCGTTATTCTATCGACTATCAGTACTCAAGATTTGTAATCTTTAAGTATCGACACTTGACATTTTTATGAGTTGCCGCAAATAATATCTTATCGACAAATTATTGTACATTATGTTCTCTTGTATACAATTTGTAAAAGGAGAGCAGCTTCAACTTTCGTCGCAATTTCTCTCAATCGAAACATTCTTATTACTATAAGAAATCATATTTTAATTTCAAAAATAATTTTAGATTAGATAAATAACAATAATGAAAAACTAAATCTCTCAAATACTTTAGGAATGTAAAACTGTATCATTAAGAAAAATACCAATTATAATAAAATTAAAGATTTTAACAAAATTTTCTCAATTAGATAAGGGGTTAAACATTAGACAATTCCACACCATTATTTAGTTTTAACACTTAAATATAAGTATATTATATACAAGATAAAACAATTAAAAGCATTTAATTTAAAATAAACCGGACAACTACAAGTATTAATTCGAATTTTTATTTAAAAGTATTTTATTAGTAATAATTATTTTTTAGATGAATTTTCATTTCTCGAATTAGCATTTCACAGAATTTCTTTTTATACTTTTACTTGACAAAACTTTTAGCTACCGAATTTTTGTTTGTCAAAATTTTTATTTTCTAGTTATTTAATTTACATGGCTTTTTATTTGAAAGAATTTTAATCTAACAGAATTCTCATTCAATCGAATTTTTAAATGAAAGAAATTCCAATTCACTGATTTTTATTTTGTACGAATTTTTATGACACCGAATTTTCATTTGTCCAAAATTACAAATGACCGAACAAAAAATCGACAGAAAGATTTTTGCGCAATTTTTAAAACTGTTCAATCACAATTTTCTTGATAATTTCTAATTGGTCAAATTTTAAAAATTACGCCGGAATCTTTCTGTCAATTGTTTGTTCTACCATTTGTAATTTTAGACAAATGAAAATTTGTACAAATAAAAATTTCGGCAAAATAAAATTCGGTGATTAAATTAAAAAGCCATGTAAATTAAATGACTATAATATAAAAATTCGGTAACTAATAATTTTCTTAAGTAAAAATTCGTATAAAAAGAAATTCTGTCAAATTTTAATTCGTAAATTGAAAATTCGTCTAAAAAATAATTATTTCTAATAAAATACTTTGAAATAAAAATTCGAGTTAATGATTTTTATGAGATATTCATGCGCCCCATTATTTGTCGTTTTCATTTTTTTTAGTCTATTGGGGTCAGAATTTTTCAAACGAATATCACCTGAAACTAAAAAATTCGATTTTCAATGAAAAATCATTTTTTTGACTTCCAGTATGATCAAAATAAGTTCCTATTATTATTAGACAAAAAAAGAACATTGTTTTTTCTTAATATTTTATAAATAAATATTATAAAAAACTATTTTAAACAAAAATTATTGTTGACAATAATAATAATATGCAAACGTTCTTTCTTTTTTTTTAAATTGGTCAATTGCAACTGAAGGAAAAGTTTTTTCTATTTAAGTCTGCTAAAAATTTCAATTGTTAATAACTTTAACAAAAATTTCTATTTGTTAATAATAATATGTCTAATAATTTTGGAAACTTATTTTAATGATATTAGAAATAAAAAAAACATTACTTTTTGAAAATTTTAGGTGATTCGTTTGAGAAATTCTGACTATAGATGTTTCTCTTTTTCCAGCAAATAATATCCGAGGAATATTAAAAGAAGTTAATTTTTCTGTCGATGCTTTTCTTGGAAAAAAATTTAAAAATGTTTTAGATAAAACAAATTTTGAGTTATACAATTGAGAGGGATAAAAAATGTATGTTAAAAGTTAGAAAATTCTGAAAAAAAGATGTAAAGAATTAGTACAATAATTTAAAAGTTGAGTATAAAATAATATTATTTTCTTGATAGAATAATAATTTTTCATGAAATCGTCAGAAAATAAAATAGTTTTCTTGCATTTTCATTTTAGAATTTCTTTTTAATCGGTTAAATTCATGGAGTTGTAAAATTTTGAATTATTGTTACACAGTATATTTTAGAGACAGTTTAGAGGTGTCTAAATATTTTTGAATTTTGATTTAAAACAATTTAAAAAAAATCATCAGCTTTAACAATTTTAATTTAAATTTGAATTAACCGAGAGACAAAATTAGAATCGACATATTTTTTTCTGATTTTCAAATAACGAAACATTAAATATTTTTAATAATTTTCAAATCTATTCAATCAAATATTCATTTATTAACATTTTTATTTATCGAAAAAATTGTTAAGATATGTATATTGACAATTTTTTGATAAACTTTTTTTTTTAATAAATTAATATTCAAATAAATGTATTTTAACATAATTAAGTTAAACATAATTTCGGGATAATTTAGATGGCCTTTTTCAGTATGGCTCAAAAATTGAACAAAACATCAAAGATAATTTATAATAATAAATTATATGTATGCAACGTACGAATATTTACAAATATATAATTCTAATTAATTTCGCGCTTTTAATTTCTGACAGAAATTTAAAGTCTTTTTGACTTTTGTCCATGGCACGTTCACCTATTGGAAGAACTTAAATATGTATTACTACTCAAATATTGAGCTGCTATTTTAGTATATTTTGATAGCATATTTAAAAAAAAGCTGCATCGAAATTGTTTGTATTTTATAAGAAGCCGTATTTCAGCGTTAAAAAAAATAAATAAAAAATAACGCTAGAATAAAGTTTTGTTCATTGGAATTTGAACACAAACTGGTTAGTTTCATTTGGTTTTATGGCATGGATCTAGTATTTGGTTTCTTTGTTACGTGGCATTAATATACTGTTAACAAAGATAAGCCTTAAGTAAGAAATAAATTATATATTCGCAGATTTTTGTCAAGTCAGACGACCAACTCATCTATTTATTCACGCGGATTAAATATCTATACAAAATGAATCCAAGCAACGAGAGGTCTCTTTTTTATAATGTATATCATTCTTACAAGCATAAATACGTGTATAAATTCTTTATCAAAATTATTGACAACGTGTAAACTAAAATACAAATCACTATTTACATTTTTTTTTTTTTTTTTGTAAATGTAGCTATTTTACCACATTTAAATTTGCCATTACGTTACATTTATTAAAACTACAGTACAAAATCAACAATAAAGTACTTTCTAAATGAAAGTTTAATATATGGGGGGAAATTTGAAAAATGTTTTTGGGAAAAACATAAATTATATTTTTCCACCAAAAGATTTTTGAAATTTTTCCTCATATATTGATAGTAATATATATTAATATAAGCAACACTTTTTGTAATGTAATTTTAATATAATGACAATTTAAAGACATTGTCCGTTCGACATATTTTTCACTAATAAATCTCTAAGCACAAATTTTCACCAATCAATGGCATCAAAAAAGAATACAAGAATATTTCTTGAGTGTAAAAACTCAAATTTTTCAGTCTACACATTTTGCAGGCAGTATTCTACCTCCCTTTAATTCCAAATAATTAGAAAAATTTAACATTGGAGGAGGTAAGATTATTATTTTATAAAATCGTTAAATATATTGTCTTAAGTTACCTACTAATCAGTATTGTGGTGTTTGTAAAAAAATTACAAAATGCCATTTTGCAGTGTCCGTTAATATATTCAGGTTTCTATATTAGGTTTAATTTTTGGATTGCACGACTTACCAATCCACGAGAGTTAACATTACTGCAGCATGAGTGATTGTAAATTACGATGGAGAATTGTATCTTTTACTGCATTAAAAACCACTTTAATATTTTCCGTGTCGACTGCAGTTGTAAAATGATGGAAGAGTGGCTTTCTTGGGTCCCTTTTTACTGATACAAACATGTCTAATATGAAACTTTGCACGTCTTTCATGGAATGTGAATCACCTTTGAATTGTGGAAAATACCAGTGAACGTCGGTATCCGGTGATCTCACTTTTTTGTCAAGAAGATCCGTTTTGTTTAGGAATAAAATAATTGAGACGTTGCCAAAAATCATATTGTTAACAATCGTATCAAATATATTCCTGGATTCCTCAAGTCTGTTGGTCCGCCTTTAATAAAATAATTATATATATAAGTTCGCATTTAAAAGCAATCAATTCAATTACCAGGGTGTCTAACGGTCAGGGAAACGTCAGGGAGTTTTGTTGGCCAGGGAAAAGTCAGGAAATTTCTGTTAATTTTGTACAAAAATTAAATTTTTTTGTAAATTTAAAAATTTTTTAATCTAAAAAAACTTGAATGGTTTTTATTACCATTTGTTACTACCATTAGAAATTAATTTATTGTTAAATATGTCAGTAACCATATTTTTGTCAAAAGAAAGCAGAAATAAGGTTATTAAAAAGTCAGGGAATTTTTTAACAATCCTTGTTAGACACCCTGATTACACAAATATGATGTAAAAATATGCATATCCTATTTATTTTACCCATAATCATCATTTTTCAATTTCTTGTTGATTGTTCTATTTAATTATTTTATATACATTACACAGGCACACAAAAAAAAATTCATGTTCTGAGCTCGAGGTCAAACCATGACAAGCACAATCTGAAGTCTTACCATGTCTACTTTATGTTTTTTGGGTCACTGAAACCAAATCTGAAGTTCATTTAACCACATCACGTCAGGCTTTTGACATAACATAAAAAAACATTTTAAAAAATCAAATTTAGGTATTTTTTCGAGATTATGTCAAAAGCATGACGTAATGGGGTTAAATAAACTTCAAATTTAGCATCAGCGACCCTAAAAACATAAAGTAGTCATGGTAGGACCCCAAGCTCAGAAAATGAATTTATTAAAGAAAAACTTTTATTAAATAAAATATAGAGACCTTCACGTAATTAAAACTTTAATTCAAAAACATTTCTGTTTTGTTTCTGATCAGAATATCAGAATCAAAAGTTAACTTCGATTAGTTTTGATTTAGGCACCCTCAAAAACCCCCTTATTCCAAGTTTCATTACACTGAAAAGAGGTTTTTGGTATTGACAACCAAACGTTTGGTTGGTACTTAAGCAACAAAATTTTTTTTTTTGAATCAACAAAATTTTAATTGTCTCAATCAAAATTTGTTTAACACAACCAAAATTAGAAAAAAAGGATTTTTGTTAAAATTTTAAAAATTATGTCCTCCATTTTGAATAAGCCATTTAAAATTTTTGAATTTAAAGGTCAAATTTGTATTCAGCGACCCCAAAAACCCTTATACACCTAATGTGGGTTAAATTGAAAAAAATTTTTGTGATTTTTACTTGTTTTTCAATTGTTATTTTATTTAATTATTAAAAACATCATTGATACCTGTCAGTAGTGTGCGAATAATTATAAAAAAGAATTTATTTTACAATTTACATAGGAAATTTGATTTATTTTGTGTTAAAATGATCACGACACAACGTATACGTGTCACTTACAGTTTGGGACCATATTTTTTTACGACACAGCGTATGTGTCGCTGACAATGAAGGGGTTAAAAAATAATGTTTAAGCTTTAAGTTTTTTTTTGCACCTTAAACCTCATATTGCTCGAAAACTAGAACCAATTGGATATTTTCAAGATCAGATTCAGATTATATGGCAAAAATCCTATAAGAATCGGCTGTCATATTTTAGTCAACATGAAGATATTGAAATTTTGTTTACCTGTGTTACAGATATAGTCAAGTATTCAATCAAGTAGTTACAAGACTTCAGGTTAAGGTTATGTGACTGTTAGGTCTGTAATCATGAAGTAGTAACAACCCTAGCGGAAAAGCGAGGAATTACAGGTCACGTGGTACATTGTTATATAAGTGTTTGTGTATAACTGTCAGTTGGCGTTTTTTTTTTGAAATGTGTTTGATGCAAGTTAATTTTGTGTAATTATAAATAAAAAAGTGAAAAATGAGGCTGCTAAATTAATCAATGAATCAGCTTTAACACAGGCAACTTTTCTTGATACAAATTATTTTGTATGTATTTGAATGTTAACAAAATACTTGCTGAACTTGTCACTATATTTTGTTTGTTTACAAGTAAATATAACCTAAAAATAAAAAAAATTAAGAAATTTTGTTTGAAATATATATGTCTACAATGAAAAATAATTATTTATATTTTTATTATTTTTTTTATTTTTATATAACTTACAACAAATTATTGCAATTCCTTTATTATTTCATTATGAAACATAATTGAAAACAAATATTTTAAAAATCTAAATTATATATTCGTATATAAATAAGCAAAAACTTATCAATTTTCAAATATATTTTCAAAAAAAATTTGTTTGAAAAAATTTATGTTTTATTTAAAATTTTTGTGTGTAACTTTTTTCTTTCTTTACACTTTTTCTATAATTATTATATATCACTTTACACGGTTTACTATATGAGAACAGCTGTGACTAGGCGCAGCTATATTTTGAAAACTTCTAAGTACACCGCTTTACCGCTAGAGGCGTCATAATCGGAGATATGTAATTTCGGATTTATTCTCATCATGCAGGGGGCCTATATGCTTAACAAGCAGTGAGTGCTCCTTATACTACTGCGTGGAAAAATGTCTTTTTTTGCATTGACTTGAGGTGACTTACGCGTCCCCTTAACTGAGACTAAAGACCAATCAATAACACCAATTCACTAACTATTTAAATATTTTTTTAGTCCATTATCAAAATACAACATTTTTACTAATCAAAAAAATCGGACAAGTGCGAGTTACACTCGCATTAAAACCGAGGGTTCCGTACCCCTAATCTTAAAATTTGAGGGGCATGGAAATACATATCATAAGTTTTTAAAAAATTTTTAATTTTTTTATCATTTAACATTTTCAATTTTATGACTTTTTTTAGATTTCACCAAATAATAAAAATATCAACAAATAAAAAATATCAAAAGATAAAAAAATAGCAAATGGTAAAAAAAAGAAAATGGCAAAAATGACAAATTATAAAGAATGTCAAAACACTACAAAAAAATATAGCAAGCACAATTGGGGTTCTCACTATATTTTTTTGTAATCTACACGCAAAAATACGTAAAAGTGTATAAATTTGAAACTCTTTAGATAAAATATTCTTCGTTTTTTGGGGAAAAATCATGATTTTTATCGAAAATTATCAGTTTTTCCTTGAAAACACTATGATAATTAACTTCAATCGTTCTCGCTATATTTTTTTTGTAATCTACACGTAAAAATACGTAAAAAAGTATAAATTTGGATCTCTTAGGATAAAATTTTCTTCTTTTTTTATTCGAAAAATCCATGATTTTTTCTAAAAATATGAGTTTTCCTTAAAAACAATATGAACATCAACATCCTGTAATCTACACGCAAAAATACGTAAGTATACCAAATATGAACTGCCTTCGTCAAATATTGTGTGCGCTAGGAGGATATATCGCTTTTTTTTCAAAATTTTTGATTTTTCCTTGACAACACTATGTAAATTAATCCGAATCATGTTCGCTATATTTTTCCTGTAATTTTCACGTAAAAATACATAAATGTACCAAATTTGAGCTCTCTATGTAAAAAGATGTGGCAACCAGGGGGGGGGGGGGGTACATAGTCATTTTTAGGGATTTTTCGTAAAAATTCATGGTTTTCCTTGACAACGCTATGATAATTAATCCCTATGAGATTCGCTATATTTTTCCTGTAATCGAGACGCCAAAATACATATGTATACCAAATTTCAGCCCTCTAGATAAATTCGTGTAGCCGCTAGTGAAGCAAGGCATGTACCCCCCGTACATGCCTTGCTTCACTAGTCTCATTAATAGGGTTCCCCCTTCGGGTACGGAACCCTAAAAATATAAAATTGACTTGAAACTTGTTACTTCGGGGTTTTTGGGGTCGCTGATTACGAATCTGGTGTCAGTTTTTCAAAATCCAAATTGTGGACATTTTTTTATACAAAAATCGTTCGGACTTCATTCTTTATGAAGTTCTCGCCTACAGTTCAAAAAATGTAACCTGTTCTATTAAAAGGAACACAAGGTTTAAAAAGTTTATGTTCTATTTTTGGCGATTCTGATACAAAAACACGCTGTTTAGGAATCCTTAAGTCAGTTTCAATAATTTTAAATTTAATATGGTAAATTAATTTTTTAAAATACGTCGAATTCACTTGAAATTCGTTACGTAGGTAATTTTTTGGGTTCGTTGACGCCAGATTTGTAATAAGCGACCATAAAAACTTCTAAATAATGAATTTCAAGTGGAATATTTGAATTTTTAATAAATTTATCCGCCATATTGGATCAGCCATTTTGAATTTTGAGAAAAAGCGGCTAACGCCATTGAATTCAGCGTACCCAAATTAGGTTATGCCCAGTTTGTTCCAAAAAAGTACGTTTTTCGAGCTCAGTGGCGTTTAACCGGAATTGGTGAAACTTGCCCTTTAATTTAGTATTATATTTTTATATTTTTTCGTTTACACTTTTATTATATAAATTCCTTTTTTTATATATTATTATTTTAATATTTCACTATCTTTTATTTTGTATTCTTATAATTTTGGTTTACACAATATATTTTTTTACGAAGGTTTAAAAAAAGAGTTATTACTGACTGCACCTCTTCTCTAAATCATAGTTGAAATAGTTTCATCAATAAGCAAAACATAGATGGCATTTCACGCCACATTTAAGATTTAACTGTAAAACAAGACCTTTGTCCCATTCGGCGAGCGGATCCTTTGGCAAATAAAACATATCATTATCAATTTTCTAACGCAATAAAGAAAAAGTCTGTACGTCTATTTTTGTACAAATGAGCAATTCCATGGGATATGATCACAAGAATTTTTTATGATTGGAGCAATTTTATTGAAACCTTGTGAATATGTTCCTTTATCTGTACAGAATAAAAGCCCACAAACAATTTTTCAAAATTTTCAAAATATTTTGAGATATCTCTAATTCAAAATTTATGTCATTTTTTTTAAAAAACCATGTAACTTTTTTTCTTGTAATCCAAATGAGATCAATTTTTTCAAGTTTATCACAAAAAGATGCTATTTTAAGAAAAAAATAGTTCATGAAACAAAAAATTTTTTTTGCCCGGAAAAATGTCAAAAAAAATTTTTGAAATCGAAGTAGTGGTAATTTTTTTCAAAAATGAATTCAAAAATTTTTTGTTCCATGAACTATTTTTTTCTTAAAATAGCATCTTTTGTGAGAAATTTGAAAAAATTGATCTCATTTGGATAACAAGAAAAAAAGTTACATGGTTTTTTTTTAAAACAATGACAATGACAACAATTAGAGATATCTTAAAAAATTTTGAAAATTTTGAAAAATTGTTTGTGGGCTTTTATTTTGTACAAAGAGAGGAACATATTCACAAGGTTTCAATAAAATTGCTCTAATCATCAATAATTCTTGTGATCATATCCCATGGAATTGCTTAAATACGAATTGGACCGGGACAAAAAAGATAATTAATTTTATTCGCCTGCATTTGTTTCCGTTTATTGGGATGTACGTGGAGCCTTTTTGTTTTAGAATCAAAATACCTACAAAATGGTGGGTCGAAAGTTAAAATCGGATTATTTGTTTAAAAGTTATTGAATTTAAATTATTAAAAATGGTACTTTTTTAATTGTTTAATAACTTTGTTAATAATAATCCGATTGGAGTGAAACTTTCTGAAAATGTGCCCCTCGCGATACTGAACAAAATGAAAAAACTTTAAACCCATTCGGATATATAGTATATAAATTATTTCATTTTGTTAATTAAAAACATGTTGTTTTTCAACCTAATTTCTACAGAACGATATGGCGCGAATTCAATTTTTTTCTTTCATTATACTCTTCAAGTGTGATACTATCATGTACATAAAAGAAAGAATTGAAATTCATTAATTAATTGCATAATTATGGATGAAGAAAAAAGGGTAAGTTTTTTAGTTATAAACAATCGCAATTACTCAGCGAGATTTTACTCTATCGAATTCTAATAAATGCCATTGCATTTCTTTTTTCTTTATCCATAATTATGCAATAAATTAATAAATTTGAATTCTTTTTTTTATGTACGTATCACTCTTGAAGAGTAAAATGAAAAAAAAATTGAATTCGCTCCATATTGTTCTGTAGAAGTAAGGTTGAAAAACAACATGTTTTTAATTAACAAATGGAATAACTTATAAACTGTATATCCGATTGGGTTCAAAGTTTTTTTATTTTGTTCAGTATCGCGAGGGGCACATTTTCAGAAAGTTTCACTCCAATCGGATTAACATTAATAAAGTTATTAAACAATTAAAAAAGTACCATTTTTAATGGTTTAAATTCAATAACTTTTAAACAAATAATCCGATTTTAACTTTCGACCCGCTATTTTGTAGGTATTTTTAATACCTTTTCTTTTTAATAACAACTTATTCCTCTAAAATTTAAAGGAAAGCAACGAGCATCAAAAAAGCACGTTTCACCAACTTTGACCATTGTTTATAACAATTTCTGCAACCGGAAATCGAGAGCAAACTATGGGGCCTTTATACTACTCCCCCAAATTACCAAAATCCGTTTAGAAAAATCTGTAAGCAATTACACTGCAAAGAGAAGTGTCTTAATATAAGATGTTTTGGTAGTCACTTTTGAGACGTTTTGGTAGTAACTTTTTAGTTATTTAAAGTGTCTTATTTTAAGATGTTATAATAGGAATAAAGCATCTAAATATTAAAATTAACATCTTATTCTAAGATGGAAGCGAATGAAAGTTACCATTTCCGTCTTAACATCTTGTTTTAAGATACCAAGAAGATATCAACTTTTTGCAGTGTAGTAGCACTTTTTGTCTTAATTGACTGGCCTATTAGTGTATTTCTACATTATTATGTTTCAAGAATATTGAATTTCTTAAAAGAATTTTATATTATCTTAATTGAAATACAAAAAATTTCTCTAAATTTTTTAAATTGAAGTATTACTACGGTTTTGAAAAAAGTAATCCGTTGAAGTCCCCTCCCCTAAATATTATATGTTATACATTACCTGTCTTCTAGTAGAACTTGATCAAATTCTGATGAAGAGACAAGAAATAATATCGATGTTACGCAATCGAAACATTGATACCATTTTTGTCTTTGTGACCTTTGACCTCCAACATCAACGAATAGAAATGGGATGTTATTGATTGGTATAACAAATTCAGATATTCCTTTGGTTGCTTTTCTGCAGTGCAAAATGTCCTGATGAGTAGGTGTATAATCCTAAACACAAGTTAATATATAAGTACAACTTAATTTCCAATATTCTAAAGAGTTTTAGTAATATAACTCACCACTGTAATGGATTTAAAAACAAGAATTTTTTTGTCACTTTGTTAATTATAATACACTTAATATTTAAATTATCACAAAGATAATATTTATTTGAATTTATTTAAAAAATTTTAAAACAAAATCCATTTTTTATGGCTCATTGTATAGTTATTTCGAATTATTCTATATTAGATTGAACATACCACTCGAGCAATCCTGTCCAGGTTATCCAGAAAGTATTGTACAGAGTCACTCTAAAAATGAAATATCAATAAAAGTAAAGATTGTCACAAAACTAATAGTTCTGTAGGGTCAGTTGGGGTAAATGGGGACAAAATCCATATTTTTCACAAATTACGTAAGTTTCTTCCTTTAGAAGGTAATATTTGCGGATTTTTTTTAAGATTGTTATTTCCATTCCAAGGATTAATTTTATGCAGCAAAAAAAAATTTAAATAAGCTTTAAACGCATGAAACTTGGAGTAAACCCATTTACCCCAAGATTTAGAAAATTTCCTAAAATTTTAAGTAAATGGGGACAGCATAGTTTATAAGAAAGGTTTAAGAAAAAAGTTTCCTTAAGTATATTACTGTATTAAGAGGTGAAAAAGCTTGAAAAAAATTTGTAATATGGCGGACGAACTTAAAAATTTTCTTATAAATTTATTAAATTTGCTTGGTTTATGTCTTTTATTTATTTTTTTTTATTTCACTATTTTGTCTCGCATTTGAAAACAGACTTGAAAAAAAACAGACTTAAAAATCATACAAAATTTTTTTCTTATTCCTTATGACTCCTATAACAGAAATTCACTTGAATTTTTTATTTTTGTCAATTTGGTTAATAATAACAAGCTATCCCCATTTACCCCAAAAATTTTAAAACTCAGGATAAATGGGGACAGCTTGTTATTATTAACCAAATTAACAACAAGGTGTTCAAATCATGACCATTTAGCTGCCTCATTATGATACACTTATATTCAAGATTAAAAGAAGGATTACAACTAAAATAGCGATCAATTTTACAAATATTGGTAAAATGTAAACTTTATACACATTAATCGATTCGTTTTCATGCCAGGAAGACGGTTTTGACAAAATTAATTAAAAATTTTCATGAAAAAAAAGTTATTTCAAAAAATACGAAAAATTTTTTTTTTCAAAAATGATGTAATTTTTAAATTTTAAGTAAAATATAGACTTTATATAGTTTAATTAATTTGTTTTGATGCGAGAAATCAGTTTTTTGGACAGAAAAATTATATAATTACAGTGTAAAAAAAATTTTTGGTTAAAAAACGTATTTTCGAACTTTTGAAAAAGTGACAAAAAAAATTATGTGGATATTTTTGGAAATCATTGTGTCTGATTTTAGGTATTGATGACTGTAATAAGCCTATAAAATTTCAGGACAATCCATCTAAGTGTATTAGAGATAATTTGTACAAAAGATTTTGTGCCATACACACACATACATCCAGACATTTGATTAAATCTTCAAATATTATGCATTCTAGACAAAAATAAGCCCATATAATCCATTTTTAAAAAATCGAAAATCGTCACGAATATAAAGCTTCCTCGTGAGGAGAGGAAGCAAAAATTCAAGTGAATTTCTGCTATGGGAGTCATAAGGGATAAGAAAAAAATTTTGTATGATTTTTAAGTCTATTTTCTTTGAAATGCTCGACAAAATACTGAAACAGTTTGACTTTGATTTTCAAGTTTTTATGCATTGAGCGATAACTTTTTTTATCTTGCTGACAATTGTGAAGATAAAAGCTTGTCAATACTCCGAACCTGTTGTAGGTGATCTGAGGTTAAAATATTGACGTTGAACTTCATTTTAAAACTGCAAATTAAGCCCCAACACTTCTTGTCCCCATTTATCCCAACTGACCCTATGTTTAAATGTTAAAATCATTTTTAAAAAAATATCAGATCAATCCATTTAATATTTTAAGAATAACGTTCCCAATAAAAAAAAAATAGTGGACCTAACAATTAAGCTGTATTAAGCTGTACTGAAGTTATTTCATGTAAAAAATATCAAAATTTGTTACAATTTTCGTATCAAAATTGATGCTCACAGGATACACGCGGCTGAACAATCAATGGCCAAGAAGCTCAAAGGTGTCATTACCCTTCCCGGAGAGAAGAGTTTTAGTCAATTTGACTATGTCACGTTTATTAAGCAATTTTTAGTATGTTTTACCTCGCAGTTCGTAAGAAACACCATTCATTAATGTCAGATTTACTATTCGTTTAATACATATCATAAAATTCTAGTTAACCTTACCATTTATTTTGTCAATCGAAAAACAAATGAAACTGTTTAGTAACTGTTACTCAGCTCGTAGAACATTCACTACACTTTTCTCTCCGTGCTTAATGATTTTTTCAGTATTTATGTATTTGACAAACAAAATAAATTAAAATAACTATTCTAAAACAACTTTAATGAACAACATAAAAATAAAAGTCCATTAATTTCAAAGGGCTTAATTTTTATGTTAGAAGTTTGTAAACAAAATCCAATAATCTTATAAATATTCAGTCAGTTTGTCTTCTTATATCCGATGATAAAATATAATGACAGAAGTTTAATACTTAAGAGTTGGCCTTAGTTTTAGTAGTAGTGAGTGTATTTAATAATAACTACTATAAAAAAATTTACCAGCTGAAATTCCCTTCGCCTGTCAAATGCCCGTCTAATAGAACTGTCTTTCCAAAGGCTCTGTAAAGACGGTACGTAGTGGAGAAATAATCTGGCGTCTAGAATCATTGTATTTTCGAATTTAAGTAGTTGATAACCAATGTCATAATTCTTAGCGTTTTCCCAAGGGATGTTTAATTTATCACGAGCGTCAACCAAAACCTTCATTCCTTTGATAATGTTTTGATAAATAACGTGTTGATACTCTTTCACAAGTTCAGGCTGAAATCAGGTTTAAAAGGTATAATAAATTGTTTTAAAAAAGACAGTAAAAATAATGTATAAATAAATTCTCTTCTAAATTTATGTTTCAACTTGTCATTACACTGAAAAAAGTGGAACAAGGAGTTTATTTTTTTTTAGTTTGAGTATAGTTTGTGATAGAGAGTATACTTATTATTACCCTAGGACAATAATGGTTTCATTATTGATTTGCAGACAGGGCTACATGGCTTTCCATAAAGTAATAATGAGTACCCAGCAAACGAAAAAGAATTGAAAAAAATTATATCGAATACGAGAATGGCCTCAGTTAATCCCACTTTGCGACAAATACGAATTGGACCTATTTTGGAATTCACTTGAATTTGTCTGAAACGTATTGAAATTTCGATTCAATCGATTTGAATATCATTGATTTCATATTACATAGTATTATTTCATTAAAAATACAATATGCCATTTTTCAATGGTAATTCTTTTCTATTCTTTTCAATTCGTCCTGACGGATCAGAAAAAGGAATTGATAAGAATTCGCGAGAAGGTAATTCATTTCTATTCATCTCAATTTGTATTCGTTTACTGGGTATACTCTTCTCTATAAACTATTTCATATCAAAGTATTTTCAAATGTATGTTGTAATAGAATTAGACTGTTGCACGGAAAAAATAAGTCAGCAAAACTTTCGTAAACAAGTATTTCACTTTTGGACGGGAACGAAAGTTGTTCAAAAAGTATAGACACAGTTTATTAAAAAAAACAAAACTATTTATAAAAATTTGAACTGAGTATACGAGCCGGTGCACTATACACAAATTTATCGACATTAAAATTCGGAATTCGCTTCCGCGGGAATCGAACCTACCTACCTAACCAAGATATATAACGCATTTTGTCTTAACAACTAACCGTCGCGGCTATCGAGAGCCACGCGAACGAAGAAGTCTACGATTCTTTCGTTGACTGCTTTTTAACTACTCTCTTTTGTGTTTCAAACTTTCGAACTTCAATTATTACAATGTTGTAAAACTTTTTATAGAAATTTGACAATCTTTAAACAATATTATTAAAAACTGTTCAATATAGATTAACAAACTGCTCTTTCTATGCAGTTTGTAAATAATTTCTTGACTCTGCTTCACTTTTTCGGTAAAGTTTATACTTCATTACACGGAAAAAATTATTTCAGTATATTTTACAAAACTAGTTTCGGAATAGCGGATACGAAGAAGAGTTTAGTATAAGTTAAAATAGAATCATTTATAATATTTGAAGAATGTTTTTCACAAAAACTAGAAGAAAACTTTTGTGAAATTCACGAATGGTATCAATCTAACAAGTAACACTAGAAAGGTGTGGGACGCCGATTTTCCTGCAACTTTGCATACAAGTAGTTCATTGGAAAATATTAGACATCTATTTTTTTATATCGGTCCAAAAATAGTTTTAGGTGAAGAAATGGATTATTCTACGAATTATTCGATGGATTATTGTAAAACTGGGTATACAGGGGTTTCTAAAGTCGCTGATTATGAATAAGGAGTCAGTTTTTAAAAATTCAAAACTGCGGATCCAATATGGCGGATTAATTTTTAAAAAATTAATTATTTTTTTTGTAATTTGTTTTTAAAATGATGGAATTTTGTAAAATTTTGTATCGAAGGGTTTCTGAGATCGCTGATTTCGAATTTGAAATCAGTTTTTAAAAATTCAAAATGGCGGATACAATATGGCGAATTAATTTTGAAAAAATTTGTAATTTTTTTGAAAAAAGTTGAAATTTTGAATCAAAGGGTTAATGAGGTTGATGATTACCAATCTGAAGTCAGTTTTTAAAAATTTTAAATGGCGGATCCAATATGGCGGATTAAATTTAAAAAAATTGGTAATTTTTTGGAAAAATGTTGAAATTTTGTAAAGTTTGTATGAAGTGGTTTATAAGTTTGCTAATTACGAAGGTGAAGTTAGTTTTTAAAAATTTTAAATAGCAAATTTATTTTGAAAAGTTGATGATTTTTTAATGTTTGAAATTTTGTGGAGTAATTATCCATCCCGCTAGTGTTACTTGTAAGTTCTCCAGTAATCGGTTGGATGTTTTGATTTAAGAGTTTTGTAAAATGTTTCGCCTGAAGAGCATGCGCAATTGAGTGGATGCAGGGATGCTCAGCTGTTCTCCAATAATCGGTTGGATGTTTTCACAGAAAATTAAAAGGCATTAAAATAAGCTGCAACGCTTCTTATTTTAATCCATTTTGGTATTAAAATAAGCAAAATTGGATTAAAATAATAATCGTTGCAGCTTATTTTAATGCCTTTTAATTTTCTGTGTTGATACAGGAGTTTTGTAAAATGTGTCGCGCCTTCATGAAGGCATTAATTATTAATTAACATTAATTATTTTTCTAATTACAATTAATTTAACACTTTTACTGTCACGAATCACTTATAAATCCTGAAATTACTGTTAATTAATTAAACGCATTATTACACACCTGAAACGCATTTTAAATTATATTTACGCTTTTGGGGATTCGAACCTGCCTATCATTCTATTTACGAACTACCTAAACGTTTTACGAAGTGCTTTAACGCACACGACTATATACGCTTATAAAGTAAACTTACAAGAATTTTAGTGAGATAGAATGTCTGTCCTGTGAAAAAAATTCATTAGTACCTCTATTTTTATGTATAAAAATCTACACATATTTATCTCTAATTAAACAAAACATAATTAAATAATACATTTTTAACTATTTACTTTAATCTCCAGAAATATTTTCCATTTAAGAAGAAAAACTCGAAAAATTGATTTTTCCTTGTAGTTTCTACAAATCTGTTAGAAATGTGACCGTTTGTCTGAAATTTTCGTATCGGCTATACCAAAATATGAAAATATTGAAGCAATTAACGTAATCATTTTATAATGATATTTCTAAAATTCTTAATAAAAATTGTCATTTGAGTTTCCTATAGTAAAATTTTCATTTTAACTATATTATATAATATTATTTTTATTTCAGGCTTTCTTAAAAGTGATAATAATAATTAATGAAATCCGTTAGTTTCCATGACATGCTACCAACTATAGTAAAAATTGATTTCAAAATATTAAATATTATTATAATTTTTCTATCCGTGTGGGTCAGTCGTGCCTTTTGAAAAGTGCCACCTCTTGCTATCTAGGAGGGGGGTTGGTCAAACTATATTGTAAAAAATTGTACACTAATGAGTTACATGTTCCATAAGTGCACGAGTGACCCATGTTTACAGTGAACGGGGCTAAAGTGTGGAATATTAAGTAAAATATTTTTTACTAAATTCTAGTATTTTTTTTGTTAAATAATTTATTTTTTGGTTCTGATGTTTATTTTTAGATGATTTTTATTTATTTATTTTTTATTAAATGACGTTTTCTTAAAAAAAAATTTTTTAACGTTAATAAAAATTAAAAAATAATACAATGTCTTTTTACTGTAATTTGTACTTCTTTTACGTACATTTTGAAAAATATTGATTTTATTAAAAATTATGATTTTTTGCAATACACATTTTTTTCGTGTTTTTGTTTGTTTAAACAAATATATTATTTAAACAAATGAACATTTCAGCAATATAAAGATTGGTCCTTATTCTAGGATAGTTAATGCAATATTATGAATTTTGTCCGATTTTTAAAGCACTTTTTAAAGCGTCGGACACGAGTGACCCGTGATTACAGTCAACGTAGGTCAAAAAATGTGTATTTTTACCAAAAAAAATATTGAGATGACCTTTTTTGTTATTTTCGAGATATTAATTAATTAATTAATTAATGTTAATAAAAAAATAAATATTTCACAAATAAATAGAGGATTTTTTGTAAACAATTGCAATGTTAGCCAATTGTTTATTAACAATCCACTAATCCAAAGTACTTCATGAAGGGCTCGTTGGATGCGGAGTTATGTCAACTTTCATTTAGTAACGTCAGAATTACGATAACTTTATTTGTTTATAAAATATATCATTTTTTATTAACATTAATTAATTAATTAATATTTCGAAGGCAACGAAAAATTTTCCATATTTTTTGTGTTCAAAGTATAAGTTTTAAACTTTCTAAAAAAAATGTAAAAAATAAAAAAAGACCGATTTTCAAAAAAAGGCAAAAATTTTTTGATTTTTAAAAAATAAGGTAAAATATTGAATTTTTTGAAATTCTTTCTTCACCAATTGAAATAGCACAAAAACACCTTTGGAAGACATATGAAAAAATTTTTTTCATCTACTTGTATTATATTTACAATTTTTAGTTAATTAATTAATTAATGTTAATAAAAAATTATATATTTTATAAACAATTAAAGTTATCGTAATTCTGACGTTACTAAATGAAAGTTGACATAATTCCGCATCCAACGAGCCCTATATGAAGTACTTTGCATTAGTAGATTGTTAGTCAACTATTGGCTAACATTGCAATTGTTTATAAAAAATCTTCTAATCAAAAATAGTCCACATAGGGCTTGTCGGATGCGGAATTACGTCAGTTTTCAATTGATACCTTCAGAATTGCAATAACTTTATTTATTTTTAAAATATTTCATTTTTTATTAGCATTAATTAATTAATTAATATTGCAAAAATAACAAAAAAGGACATCTCAATATTTTTTGTGGTGAAAATACACATTTTTAACTTTCAAAAAAAAAAAAAAAAAAATAAATAAAAGGAACGAACTTAAAAAAAAGTCAAAAATATTTTTGATTTTCAAAAAAAGGGTCAAATTTTGAATTTTTTGAAAAAATTTTTGCACCATTCGAAAGAGCAGGAAAAAACCTAGGTTAAATATTTTTCATCTTTCTGTTTAAAAATTAAGTTTTCAAAAATTCACTGTTTAAATTTTTTACAAAAAATTCAACTCCCTCTCCTACAGTTTTTAAAAAACCTAACAATACCCTTTACCTATTTAAAATAACCCTTGGTACTGCTAGCTTGAAGTCAAGCTGAAAGTACCACATTAAGGAACCTAAATATTTTTCAAAATTTCTTCTATAGAAATTTAGGGCTCTCAACTGGGACTATTTAAAATTTTCAAAAACCACCCCTACGTACAAAAAACATTCCCAATTATTTAAACTCGATTTAATCAAACAATAATCATATATGAATTAAGAGCTATATACGAAAAGACATACTTTTCTCCCGCTACACAGGTAAGAAATGATGTACTTTCGGTGCGTGTATTAGAAAAAAGCATTTTACTTATTGTCTTGCTTTCAAGTAAATAGAGTGAAAAATTTTACGAAATTTTAGTTTCGATATAGATGGTGCTGCCTTACTATAGGACCATTAATAGTACATTGTGTGGCAAGGGCGGAAAGTAGTCAATTCCCTTGGTCAGGAATTGACCTTTCCGCCCGTGTTGCACACGATGTTTTTTGTCCAATTGCACGATAAACAAGACGCCTAAGGAAGTAAACTGGAGTAACACCAAAGACCAAATATTGAATGTTAAAGATACTGGATATATTTTTACTATGTTCAAGGGGAAATTTATATTATTATATTTTATAACATTATTTAAAAATATTAAAAATTTGGTGAACTAATTATTTAGAAATACTCAACTTGAAAAATGTGTCTTAAATAACCCAGAAAATTATTTTTTTAGAGTAGTGGGCGGCAAAAGCCTACTTTCCGCCGGCTGTACCTGCACGGAAAGTCGCGTTTATCGTGCATGTAGGACAAAAAACTATGATATAGTTTTTAGAAACTATTATGTTTCACACTTATAATAAAAAAAAATTATCCGCATCTGTAAAGGATAAGTATATTTTTCTAAAATTCAAAAAATTATCGTTTGGAAGTATAGTTTTATATTAATTTTTGATAAAGTTATTAACACGGTAGGGGAATCGGAGTCCCTTAAAGGAAATGATTAAAAAAAACCAATTTATTGTTATAGTAAAATATTGTTCGGTCATTTTTTACTACTTTTGTTATTTATCTTTAATTGTAATTAATTAGTAACTAAGGAAAATAGTAAATTTACAATAAAAAATTTCTAAACAAATGCATCATCCCCCATTGGGATCAGAAATCACGAGAAACTGACCCACCCCTGAGCCTTCTTGTGACAACCATCTTGGTTTTTTATCTCTTTCTTTTGTATATGTTAGAGAAACACGGAATGAAAACATGGCCACCACAACAAGGCTCTCACCAGATGGCGTATCGCAGTATTTCAGATCCCAATTACCCCACTTGTGGGGTATTAAGAGCTCTTACTTGAAATTTCAATAAAAAAAATATATATTTTATATTTTCTTTAAATATTTTTTTTTATTTTGTTAGTAGTTCTCGACAGATTAACATTTTACAAAGTATTTAAGACATAAAAAAGACTTACAGTTTCTTTAGTTTTAAAATATCCAATAATAACACATTTTAGACAATAAAATACAAATATAGATTCTTAACAATTAAATATGCAAAAATATCAGATTTAATAAATGAGTCTTTTTCAATTTTCAAAGAAATGAGATAAGTCATATCCAGGTAATGAAACTCTGCTGGCTGACACAATTTAAGAAGATTTAAGATGAAAAACTCGAAAACTTGATTTCTCTATGTATTTTCTACGAATCTGTCAGGAATGTGACCGTTTGTCTTCGTATGACATACAGGAAGACTGTCAAAATTTCTCGAGTTATTTTCGCGAAATTCAATGTCTCTAAGTACTTGAAATTTAAAAGCTCCCATTATCCTCGCTCTCCCATTACCCCACCTTTTCCCAATTCTAAATCAATATTTTTTATATGACTTTGATTGGAAGTTAGAACAATATCTTTTATTTCTGTCATAATTTTTTTAAATAAGTAAGTCATTTAGTGTTAATTTTATTAAATATTTTATCTTTCAATGTATTACATCTTCAATAATGTTTATTTCTTTTGCATCGGAATACTTTTATTCTATTTCTCTATTACTTTATTTAATTTTAACCCTAGAAGGAGTAACTGGGGTGTCTAGATGCCCCAGTAAAATTCAAATTTCGACAAATTTGGAAAATTTTTCGTTTTTTGTTTTCGTTTTTGCAAGTTTTTTAAAACTTATTTTTATTTTATAAAAAAATCAATAAAACCATTTTTTTCCTTACTAAAAAATCAATGAAAATCACTATTTATAATTAGTTTTTTGTCAAATAGAAACCTTTTTACACAAGTTTCAAGTTGTGGTGTCTAGACACCCCAGTTACCCTTTAGAGGGTGAGAAAATTCATATACTCCTTCTAGGGTTAATAAAAATAGACATATTTCCTTTTTTTTGATACATTAATATCCTCCCCCACCTTTTCTACATTAACTGTCTTTTCTATTAACAGTATACAAAAAATTTTAGTTCATTATATATTTAGTAAAATAATAACTTATAACTTAAATTCTTTTCAAATTAATATTTTTTATTTATTAATTGCTTTTAATTCATTAAGAAGAGTTTTTTTAATTTGAAAAAAAAAATTTATCAAAATTATTATTGAAGCTCCATCAATTAACCATTCAGGATGACTTTTATTATTTATAAATTGAAATATTTATCTATGGACCCCTTACTTTTTAATTTATGCTCTAATTTTAACAACATTAATCTTTTAATTAATGAATTAAAAATTTTTTAAATTATTTTTTTGTAGGTGGAACGGTTTGAAATAGAATGCTCCATATTCAGATAAATCAGATGATGTTTCTGCAATAGAAATTTAACTAAAATGTTATATATCAATAATGAAACTAATTTTTAATAAATACATAAAAACATTCCTCACGACAATAAACTAAATAAACCGGCTAATAATAATGTATTCCGCTATCGGAATAAATGATCGATTGTCATTATTTAGTCCGCTAACGGGCTAAATAGCCGCTACGATTTATTTAAAGAGAGCGAAGTTTGATAATGAAAGGTAAAATTTTGAGAATAGGTTAGGTACATCTAGCAGAGAAAAAACACTGGGAACATGAATTGACAACGGCCAGAAGGAACGGAAAATCGAAATTTGCATAGGAAAAAATATTAGCATTTTAGACAAAGGACTTTTAGTCTTGTCATTTGTGTGATGAGAATTATAAAAGATTAAAAGACAATATATGACACTTGGCATACTGTTTATTGGAAATAAATAGAAGCTTAAAAGTTGAAGTAAATAAGGTAGTGTTATTCTCACCTCGAATTTGATACCGTGTATAATTCGCATTTGTTTGAGAAATGTGGACTTGCCACTTTCCCCAGCCCCAAGGAGCAGCAACTTGACCTGTCGTCGAAAGGCCTGTCGATCTTTTTCGAGCATGCGATCTATTTCCTGGCTCTTGTATCGCTGCTCAATCTCCTCGGGGCTGAACTTGAATCGCAGGCAACAAGTACACGACCACGTTAATGACCCCGCCATCTTGCTACCCTGCCCTCCCTAGCAGCCGGTGTTTTCCTGGACCTTCCACTATTCCACCCCCTGCGAAGGAAATTCGGCAGACTGTCGACGTAACTGCACAGCGCTTGGGCACTCACACACGCAACCTGTTTGTGTCCGATCGGGACCAGAGCAACAAAAACCTTCGGGCGTGTGTGGAGAAACTACATGCGAAGCTACACGGCACACGCGAATTAAATCCATTCAATCGACAATAAAAACACGTTAAAACTCCAGTGTTAAAAACATTCACGACACTTTCTGCTCAATGGCAATTTCACCAATTCAGACAATCAAGACCCTTGACCGCTGGGCCCGAGCAATTTTGGCACGGCATGATTAAATAATCGCGCTGTAATTAGGCTCTCGCGCGTCAGAATCCGCCTTACTTTACAAAACAATTTCTATCTGCTTCAAATTTTCGATCTAATGTCCATTCCGTTTTCTCAGTCTGGTTCGGATCGGAACACACCTGCGGATACAAAGCGGCTGCCACTTATACTGATTCCAAACCAAACAATAATGCAGTAATCAATCAGCGATCGGAACAAATTACACAACGCTTATATCCGTCCACGAAAGTACTTTTGCAGAACTACATGATAACATGTTCAGGCGCAAAAAAATCCTATGCCGTCAACGAGAAAACGGGGAAAACTTTGCTCCCACCACATTGATGTACACAAACACACACACGCGCGCACGACAAACATCACAAAACCACTGAGATTTTCCGATCCGTCAGAATACAGTGCCTGCTGGCCAACAGGTATTTTAGCAATCATTTCTTTCTAACCAAATATTAAAGATCTTCATAGAGACAGGTAATTTTTATTTTCCCAATATACATTCTTCCTTTTTTCAATCATGAAAACACATGTTTAAGGAATCTTTCATCCTTACTCATGATTCAAGAAACTTTATGATTCTAACTGTGATTATTCTATGTATATTCATTCCGTCAGTTGATAATTCTACATCCAGAAATCTTCTTTATCCGCAATTCCAGGGATATGAACATAACATACTTTATTAAGGCCTTTCTCCAATAGGATCCTAAACTCTTGCGTTGCGTATGCATTGCGTCGGTTGCTATTGGCAACCAATGCTAAAATCAACGCGTCAGTCACGCAACGCAAAAGTTTAGGTTCCATTGGAGAAAGGCCTTTATGGAAAGGCCAACGCACAATAACTTCGCGAAAGTCGTTCACTAAGGCCGTTTCCGAATTGGTATTTTTAGCGCACTTTTGGTAAAGTGTATACTTGGGAAGTATACACTTTATCAAAAGTGCGCTAATTATTCCAATTCGGAAACAGCCTTCATAAAAGTGCAGTTAAAATCCCAATTCGGAAACGGGTACAGTCACACCCCGATAGATATTGAGGATACCTATCTATAATAAGGCAGTCCAACTTGTGACGTCGCGTGACGTCACTTTTCAAAATGGTGGCTGGTCGAAAAACATGCAATGCACGAAGTAATAATAAGACTCAACTCTGTATTTGCCATCTGTCAAGGTCACTGTACCATAAGTGACATGTTCGATAAAGGAAATTAACTTTCGAATGAGAGCGCATATGCAGTGTAATATACGTGTCTCTCTCTAACTAATAGGAAAAGTGCGACTGAGAAAGCTGCCGGCATTAGACTGATGACGGCAACTTTCTCACTCGCACTTTTTTCATTAGTTGGAGAGAGACACATATATGACACTGCACATGCGCTCTCGTTTGAGAGTCAATTCCATTTAGCGAACAGGTCACTTATAGTCCAGTCACCCTAGCTGGATTCCGATAATTTACACCATTATAGTTGTCTCCTTATTATTACTTCGTGATGCAATGCATTGAAGTCAATGGAGCGAATCAGTTTTTTTAACATAACTTTTGAAAAATTAATTTTTGAACCCAAGTTTAATTATAAAATATTTATTATTTATCGAGATCTATTTTTTAAAATAATAAAATCAAAAAATTAATTTTTATTATTTTAAAAAATAGATCTCGATAAATAATAAATATTTTACAATTACACTTGGGTTCAAAAATTAATTTTTCAAAAGTTATGTTAAAAAAACTGATTCGCTCCATTGACTTCAATGCATTGCATGTCTTCCGACAAGCCGCTATTTTGAAAAGTGACGTCACGCTATGTCACAAGTTGGACTGCATTATATAATATAACGTATAAGAGTGAGAGAAATCAAAAATGTTTTTATTTCTCTCACTCTTATACGTTATATTATATTATAGATACTTAGCCCACTGAACTCTATATATCTGGAATACTGTCGGCCATTGAAAGTCGCGAACCGAGAGAGAGGTCTAATTTTTGTATTCCCCTCTTTGTCGGTACAGGTCCATTAGAAAATATTTACCAGTATACGTGAACTTAACATAACACAGTTAACAGTAAAATTTTGGAAAGTATTGTACTACGTCTACGCAGTTTATAGCAAGAGAAGGGGAGGGATACAAAAATCAGCCCTCTCTCACGGCTCGGGACCATCAATGGCAGACAGCATTTCAGTGATGTAGCCTCGATATCTATCAAGGTATAACCGTACCCTAAGGCCGTTTTTGAATTAGGAATATCTGCAATAGCAGACCACGTGAATTAATGTACGCGGCCTTCGGACGCGTTATGGAGCGGTCACACCTCGCCTGCAGGAGCAGTTGCCCATGGCAACCGTGTAAGAGTAAGAGAGATAGAAGATTTTCCATCTCTTTTACTCTTACACGGTTGCCATTGGCAACTGCTCCTGCAGGCGAGGTGTGACCGCTCCATTAAAGCCTTAGCAGAATAGAAACGAAACCGGAATCGTAACCGCAACCGAAAGAATGAGTTACAGAAGGATAGACATATTGTTTGTCTTTCTCCAATTCATTATTCCAATTGCGATTACGATTCCGGTTACGTTTGTATTCTGCTCAGTCCTTTAAGTTTCACTCGTTTACATATTTTTAGGAAACCTTGGAGTGGGGGGTAGGATGTGGCCGAAAATATTCTGCGGACAAAGTCGGGTGGGAAAAAAGTGAAGTTTTTAAAAGTAAATATTTGAGAGTATTTAAATTTCTCAAGTTAATTTTTATACAGTTGGCGGCATCACTACCTGTCACATAGTGAAGACAACTTCTCTCTTTAGGTACCTATTCTGCAGTTTAGCCGTCCTTTTTTTCTCAGGGAAGAAATCGTATCGCAGTATTTCAGATCCCAATACCTCACCGATTCCGAGTATACTTTTGTTGTGTACCATTGGAGTAAAAGAGACGGAAATATCTTTTGTCTCTTTTACTCCAATGGTACACGACAGAAGTATGCATGTTATTAAAAAAATATAAAATATATATTTTAAGTGGGAATCACCACAGCAGTAAAAGATTTACAGTTAGTAAACAAACACCCCTAACCTCAAAATTTAGATTTTATCACGAATTCAGAGACTCTATAAATGCAATTGAATCAAATATAGAACAAAATTAATTATTAACACACATTTTAATTTTATTATATGTCAACAAGCGTTTTCCATGTTTAAAGTATGAATAAAATTGATGAAAGTGTAAACTAATTTTCTTCCCCATGAGAATAACATTGTGTCGTCTGTTTGTTGTCCCTCCAGGCTTCTGATGTCATACCTAGAATCGACTCTGACGTCACAAGTGACAGAGCCTAATCAAAAGTGCGCTAAAAATTCCAATTCGTAAACGGCCCATGTCTTTCTATTACTTTAGTTAAGTTCCTAACGACGAGATGGCGCGGCATTACGCCTACAATTTTGTATGTACGAAGTCGACCTTGGTCGACCTGGCATGATCACAGATTGAGAGACGGCGCAGAAAGTCGAGACAGTGTTTTCATTTCGGGAATTATTCCTACGGCTAGACGTATTGTTTTGTTCGGTAAAGTAGTGTTTTTTTATTTGATTCGAGCGCAATGGGCAATTTCCTCACTGTTTCTCTTGAAGAATCACTCGACATTTGTTTTGCGTTTAAATTAATTGATCGAACATAAAGAAATATGTAACCGGTGAAGAAAAAAAGTACGAGAGATGTCAAGTGTCGTCAATGGTTGTGTTGACGTTTTTCACTGTACGTGAGTTGTGACACAGTGACAGTTTGTGCATGCATACATATATGTCTTGTATGTACAATTATCAAAGCAGGAAAGCTAGGGTCGTCATTCGGGGAGTTTTGTGCTTTACATTTATTGTAAGAAAGTTTCATATTTTGTAAAGAGAAAACAATGGGGCTTGTACAAAGCCGAGGAAGCAGCGAGAACGATGTCAGTACGCGAGAGATTTTCGCCGGTAGTATAAAAAGCGCTGGACAGCCTTGTTTAGGAATGGGGAGTCTGGGTGGACCTCACGCCCGAAGCGGCAGCGTTCGGAGTGCACCAAGACAACCAATGCCGGATGCCGTCGAACTCGAGAGGCGCTTCACGAAAGTATTAGTGAGTGATTGATTCCTCGTCCATAACTTTATTACTCTCAGAATTCACGTACAGTACAACTCAAATTCTTTGGACTATTTGAGGGGTGCGGGTGGCACCTTCTTTATTTTGATACCTTCAAATTTTAATCATCATACGATGTTATATTTTTTATTTCATCATTTGGGTCCTCGAAACATACAGGGTGGTCAAAAAAATTAAAAATTTTAAAATCCACATGAGAGATTCTAAAAAATCATTAAAAAAGCATGTTAAAAAAATGACGATGAAAAATAGTCAAAATTGTGGAAGTAGTTTGATTTTAAAAAATTTTAATTTGTTCAAGACTATATAATATGTACACTCTGAAATAATGAAAAATTTAGATTTTCTTTTTTTGACCACTCTCTATGTTTTCAGGACCAAAATAATACAAGAAAAAATCAACTTTCTCCAATCATTTAAATTTAAAGGTTTTAAATAAGAATTGTACCACCCCTTAATGTTTTATTAAGTCCAGATAATTGGAATTTTTTATGGAAATAAACGTTATTTTCTTTCTTTAGTAATCATTTCTTTTCAGAAGTTAATAGTAACATTATTGATATAAATAAAAAATACATCATCCGTGATTTTCAAAAAGAATGTAAAATTGGAGCAAATCCATGATATAAAAAAATGTAACGCATAAGAGGCATTGAACATACGACTTACACGCGTATAATCTAATATTCCAACCACTACTCCATGAACTCTTCACCATGGCATGATAAATTTCCTTATCTTAGTATAACTAAAATTTTAAATTGCACTGTAAAAATTTGTCTATAATTTTATGTACTTATTATGATGCATGTGAACTTAGCCCCCACTTTTAAAAAATTAAATTTTTTTTTAGAGTTCTGACTTTCTAAAGAATAGTTCTAGAGTTCCTTATAGGTTTTAGAAATAGTTCCGGCGATTAAGTCTTAAAAATATCGATTTTTCATAATGGGGGGCTAACTTCACGCAGCCCCGCACTTCTTAAAAAATGAAATTTTTTTTAGAGTTCTGAATAGTTCTCAAAGAGTTCTAGAGTTCTCTATACTTTTCAAAAATAGTTCTTTCCATATACAGTTAAAATTTTGTTTTTAAATTCAAAAAATTTTATAGCCACGAACTACACGAGTTCTGTTTGCCCCCCATTGAGTACTACAAAAGACCCTGATAAAAGTTTTTCCTAAACTCAAAATTAAAGAAACTACAGAACTTTAAAAATTCAAGAAAAAATTATTTATTTAAAGATTGAGTTCCAAGAGTTCTGATGGAAGTTCTGTATGACACCTTTGGAGTTCCAAGAGTTCTGATGAGAGTTCTGTTTGCCCCCTTCTGAGTTCTACAAAAAACACTCATAAATTGTTTTTCTAAACTTAAAATTAAAGAAAATACAGAACTTTAAAGTTTCAACAAAAATTATTTCACCTAAATTGACTTCCAAGAGTTCTGATGAGAGTTCTGTTTCCCCCTCCCCACTAAGTTCTACAAAAAAAATTTCTAAACTCAAAATTGAATAAACTTTAGGATTTTAAAATTGAAAAAAAATAGTTTTCTGAAATTCAGTTCTGTATGACACCTTTTGAGTTCTATAAGTTCTGATGGCAGTTCTGTTTGATCGCTGTCGAGCTTTTCTAATAATTTTTATTTCATGAAATAATTTTGAAATATGTTTGATAAAATTTTAATGTTTTAAAAAAGGTGGTCTTTTAATTCTAATATTAAATATTTTTACGACTTAGAAGTTTTAGAAATAAGAATAAAATATAATGACAGAAGTTAAAGTTTTTTTAATTTAAAAAATCTAATTTTATTTTCGAAAACAGAAAATACAATTTTTTTGTGGCACTCAATTGGGAGCAAACAGAACTCCCGTCAGAACTCTTGGAACTCAAAAGGTGTCATACAGAACACATAGAACATAGTTTTTTTTGAAATTTCTAAGTCCTGTAGTTTTTTTAATTTTGAGTTAAGAAAAAAAATTTAATAGTGTTTTTTGTAGATCTCTGTGGGGGGCAAACAGAACTCTCATTAGAACTCTTGGAACTCGAAAGGTCTCATACAGAACTTCCATCAGAACTCTTGGAACTCAATTTAAGTGAAATAATTTTATTTTGAAATATCCAAGTCCTGTACTTTAGTCTTCTGAAGTTGGCACCACAATCTTAAAAAATGAAAAATCTACAATGAGTTCTGGGTAGATTAGCAATAGTTCTAGAGTTCTATAAATTTTAAAACAATAGTTCCGTAGATTTAGACCAAAAAACATGATATAAAAAAATGGTGTTAACGTCACCCAGCACTATCATTTTTGCAAAAAAAAGTTTTGACATATTATTCCGATATAAAATGCAGAGTTCTTGAGTTCTCTTATAAAACAAAAAATAGTTCCGCAAAATTTAAAAATTTATTAAAAAATTTTTAATTTTGAAAAATTTTAAGTTTAAGTAGATTTGACCAAAGTTCTGTCATCTTTTTCAAGAGTTCTACAAATTATTCTTATGAAATATTACTCTACCCAGGCGGAAATTTCCAACTGGCGCGGATCCCAGCCAGTACCGACGTCGGTATGACTGTACTGGCTGGGATCCGCCTGCCAACCGGCTCGGTACAGGCATTATACTGAAAAGTGACATGGCCAGGAGCGCGCTGGCAACCGGCTCGGTACAGCCATTCCTACCGCCCGGAACCGGCAGTAAGGAGTCGATGTATTAAGAATTCAACCGGCTGGGAACTGGCATTGCTCCGACTGCGGATTTTCGTTCTATAGATTTGAAACGGGCTGGGTGCTGGCATTCTACTGCCTTACAACCGCTTTGGATCAAAAATTATTTAAATGATATTTTTAATAAATATGAATAAAAAAATATTAATTGCAAAAGACACATTTTAATGAGAATTTATTAATAGTTCACTTTACACATTATTAAATACACTTACTGACATTTTTTATTATGTACACATTTGAAAAATCCTATCGCTTGGGGGTTCGAACCTACGCTTATAATCGAATATATACGCACCGAAATCACGCACGCTAACCACTACGCTAAACTCGCATGGAACTTTCGGATTGTAAATGCATTCTTGAAGTGTTACTAGCTTAAATAAAAATTAAAAAATTCTTACGCGGCAATGAACATTTTTTAAATACGAACTGATGTTACAGGTACACTACCGTCCGAAATTGTGCGAACGCTTACACCGCGAGTCATTGAAAAACATACTCGCGTGAAAATAAAGATAACTCTGAGAGAAATTAACGTAGAGACTTTTCCCTTATAGCGTTGGAAAGCTTATTAAATTTCGAAAAAAATGATACCTATTTGAATGAGATTGCTTAAATAGGTTTAAATATATCATGTTACAAAGTTGAAAAAATAATTGTAATTTTTTGCTTATTTCCTACCTTGACTTTAACCTCTTGCATGGTCCAGGAAAATCGACGAAAAAAATTGTCCTTTAACATAATTATTCCTTGAAATCTAAGCTTTCCATTGATTCCAAGAACAATAAAAAATGTTGACGGGTTTGCCAGTAATTGAAAAAAAAGGACGAGCGTGCACGAAAAAAAATTCGACCGTCAATCGCTCGATTTTCCCGTCTCGCTGCCTCTTTCGTTCGTGCGCCAGGGCCGAAACAGACCATTTTGATTAGGCGCTTTCCGGGCACCATTAATTTCATTATTTTTGCCTTTCTGTGAACATAAATTATTTGTATAACGCGAAAGATATCATAATTGTCTTATAAGTTAATTAATAATAATAACAGTCATAAAGCAGAAATTGAAAAATTGATATTGACTGCAAGAGAAAAAAATATTTCACATACATAAAGATATTAATTTTTTAATCAATCATAAATAAAATAATTATACAATTAAAGTTTTGTAAAAATTGAAATATATTTATAATCATTAAACAATTTATTATTAAGAATCAAAAACCTCGTTGGCCAAATTGAATTTTTTAATAATGAAATATATAAGTTTTATTACATTTATTTAATTTTAATAACTGTATAATTAACTTATAAGACAATTATGATATCTTTCGCGTTATACAAATAATTTATGTTCACAGAAAGGCAAAAATAATGAAATTAATGGTGCCCGGAAAGCGCCTAATCAAAATGGTCTGTTTCGGCCCTGGCGCACGAACGAAAGAGGCAGCGAGACGGGAAAATCGAGCGATTGACGGTCAAATTTTTTTTCGTGCACGCTCGTCCTTTTTTTTCAATTACTGGCAAACCCGTCAACATTTTTTATTGTTCTTGGAATCAATGGAAAGCTTAGATTTCAAGGAATAATTATGTTAAAGGACAATTTTTTTCGTCGATTTTCCTGGACCATGCAAGAGGTTAAAGTCAAGGTAGGAAATAAGCAAAAAATTACAATTATTTTTTCAACTTTGTAATATGATATATTTAAACCTATTTAAGCAATCTCATTCAAATAGGTATCATTTTTTTCGAAATTTAATAAGCTTTCCAACGCTATAAGGGAAAAGTCTCTACGTTAATTTCTCTCAGAGTTATCTTTATTTTCACGCGAGTATGTTTTTCAATGACTCGCGGTGTAAGCGTTCGCACAATTTCGGACGGTAGTGTATATTTTAAATATTTTATTCAATGTATATTTATGAATAATTAAATATTTTGCCTAAAAAAAGTTTGTTATATTTTTATCATTCTATTTTTTTAATACATATTTTTAATATTTATTTTATTAAATAATTTTAGTATGAATTTTATATTGTGTAACAATTTTCAAAAACTAGAATTAATATATAATTAACCAAAACTAGGTTCTTTAAATTAATGTAAAATAAATAGACTGTAAATATAAACCTCAATTAATTATATATTTGACATAATTATTAAAGCTAACTTTACTACAAAACAATTTAAAGTTTAATTTAAAAATTAAATTAATTAATAATTAATTTGTAAATCATTTATAATTTGGAAATATATATATATTTAAAAAT